TCTCCGTCGCATTGTCAAAGAAAGTTGCAAGAAAAAGGGGGAGAGCGCGTGCGGGAAGAGGGAGATTACTCTCGGTAGCTTCATCGAGGCCAGTACGGCCAACGATTCTCTCCCTCTCCGTTCCCACGTCGTTCTAACCGGCAATAGAGCTTCTCCATGAAGTCTTCATGGCTTGTCAGTCGTGATCCGTGCGTTCGAGCTTCAACAAGTTTCATCGTCCGAGACCTGTTCTTAGCCCTCGTTATTCTAAACGGTTCACGAGAAGAAGGCGTGTGTACGTGAGTGCTGACGCAAAATATCGTCAGTAATATCGCGCATTCGTCGTCGAGAGAAGTAAATTTACGGTAGCGCGACTTTTATAGGGAGATAAGAAGGAGATCGGGGTATTTTAGTGTTAGAAATTGCAATAGAATTTTATTGTCATTTTATATTTCTCGTTCATGCGTTATTCATGTGAAAAATCTAAAGTAGTTCGCACAAAGCGTTTTTTCGTTTCAACGAGCAAACGTTTTGAAACTTAGAAACGATTTCGAGAACATCTGCTTCACAAAGCGTCTAATGTAAGGTGCAATGAATCACTAGGAAAAATATATTTATAGTGCTGTAATCTGTTTTGCGCGCCACGTGCACGTTTACAGGTGCCACTTATTTAAACAAACGTTATCGCTTTAACAACACGCGCACACACACCGATCTTTCGATAGCAGAAAAAACGCGGAAAAAAAAGATAGAACAAAAAAAACTTGCATGTTAACGCGCTCGAGACAATAAATGATGCGCAACCTTGCGTTTTAACAAAGCTGCGGGTTACCGAGAGATAAGATAACAACTTTTGATAAATTTTTTTGTTAAAATTTATAACAATTTTGAGATTGTTGTTTTTTTCTTTTTTCTCTCTCTTTTGTCGGACAAGTTTACTTTTGAAATTGGACACTCTTCTTAAAAACACATCTTAATCATTTTGTGCTTCGTTAATTATGCATTCGAAGTAACCGCGCAATTGTGATTCAAGTGTGGCGCGCAAGCATGAATTACTGATTAATTAAAATACTTCTTCGTATACTTCTCTCGCCTTTAATGGGACCGCCGTAAAGGTCTGCTTTAATGAATAGTAGTAATTTTCTTCTCGCATTACTTCCTGATCTTCTAGGTCAATGACTGTGTCGGTAACTGGACGTGATAAAACTCGCGATATGTTGAAATAAAAAAAAAAAAAAAAAAGAAAGAAAGAAAGAAAGAAAGAAAAACAATCTTAAACACAGACGCCCCGGAGTACCGTTCTCTTCTGGCGCCGTAATAAATGATCGCATTTCGTGTGCTTCCTGCAGAAAAAAGATCGCGCGGATCCAAGGGATCAAAGACGCAAGGACGATCATAGTATACTTCTCTTGTCCGAGGGTTTCGCTAATGTGATTTTTGACACTCCCAAACCCGTTTTGGTCAGTCGACGTAACATTTTTTTTTTTTCTTTTTTGTGATCGACTTCAAAGCGCGCGGCGCTTTTTAAAACGAATTGAAACGATATCCGCGTTGCGTCACGATGATTCGTCGCAACATGACGGTGTATTGCGTTTTACATTTATCGTGAGAATGGCTCGTGCGAAGAGAGCTACGTAAGAAGATGACTTGTAATCGCGTTTCTTCCAAACAACAACAACAAAAAAAGTCGCATTTTATTGTTTTTCATCGAAATAAGTTTTCTTTGCTACGTAAGAGAAGGATGTTTTAAAAGACGTATCCGCACGTCGTTTCACTCCGATCGAATTTAACGAATTCCGCGCCAACCTTGAACAATTGACCAGTGCTCTTTCGATGCTCGCGAAATGAAAGAAGAAATGTGACATCTTGCACGCGATCTCACAAATCGATTCGAACTGGCCTTTAGAGTCCGTCAAGTATTTGAAATCCACGTGCCTCACGTTGTATTTTCATCAAAAGAAATTACATCTCTTTATGTATGTACGAAGACATTTAAGGAGGTCATAATTGGCGAACGGCTTGTGCGATAAATTCAATAACCGACAATCTTCATTTCTTTTACGTCGAACACAAAAAGAATTCTCGCGACTCTCTTGTCTTCGGTCGCAGAATCAGACTTCGGAGAAATCTGATTGGAGGAGATTGATAGTGCTCTTGAACTGGATATCTATAGACTTTGCAATTGATCTCTTTATTCAAATACAACATCGTAGAAAGAGTACCTTCTTGAAGTTCCGTTATTGTTATTATTGTGTGTCAACACAATCTTACGATTTTGTTAAAATCGCAGAGAATTATCCATCATTTTTTTTCATCGTCATTATCATAATTCAGTTAGTCCTCTTGCAATCTTTCGTCGGGACTAGCTTGTTGTTGAGGTCACGCAAACTAAAGCAAGGTCAAGGTTGGTCTTGAACAGTTTGATGGTGATTGAAACCGTCGCGTGCAGACGCGAACGAAGAAGAAAAAGAAAGGAAAAGTTACAACAAGAGAGTTAAACTTTTGTATTTCGTGACTCCGAGCCGTCGTTATCCTCTTTCTTTAAGATCAACTGATTATCCAGAAATTTGTCTTGTTTTCTTTAATTAGATTAGTTCGTTGCACTTGCTCAGTGAAAGTGTTTTCGTCGGTTTTTTCGAGGTTGAAGAAACACGCATGAGATAATTGCAGGTTGCACACGAGTGCGTTGAACTATTAGCGGATAAAAAATGCGCAAACTCCGTTAATGCTATTAATATTATTTTAGATAAAGGTCTCCATTGGGTAATCAGTTTAATCGCGCTTACAACGCTTTCTAATCGTTTTAATAGCAACAAAAATAAATAATTAAAGATTTAATAGCAACAAAAATTAATTAAGTAAAGATTTCAAACTTTGTTAAATATATTTTTGTACGTACTTAAATAAATTAATTTTCATTAAAATATACGTACTGTTGCTTGTTTGTTTTTTTTTTTTTTTTAATATAAAGTTTTCGTACTTACAATGCTGTCGAAATGAGGTTTCGGAAAATATAAATATAGATTTTCTCAGAAGACGTGGTAAACCAGACAAACATATGTAGATGTATGTAGGTTAGGTTATATAAACGATGAACGTAACCAATTTTGCTATATCTCCGTTGAAAATATTCGCTCAATATATAAATTAATATGTTCTCGCTAAATAATCGAACTTAAACGCATATATGTTAGTCACGCTTTGGAATTGCTATCGCAAACACACATACACACACACAAGCAACCGAACATCACTGGAGTCTGCTTAATCCAGGTCGCAAAACAAAAGAACATTTTTAAAGGATGCCAGTTCTGTACGTTTCCCTCGTTTCCTGGATGTCAAGGTACAGTATGAAACAAAAATATGCTTCCCAACAATAAAATAATTTTAACACGAGAATTTAATTTTTTACCGTACGCAGAGAGACTCATTTAAAAAGAGTATCAGTTATATTGGAAGTAATGTAATTTCGCAGCGACTACATATAGATAAGAAGATCGTATCATTCCTCGTGAGTTTATTGATTCGCAAATACGCCACTTGCGATACACGTATGCAAATGTTTTGAGAGTTTAACAAACAGTTGTATCATTTTTTTTAATGGCTTGATATTTTTTAATTTAGTTCCTTAATCTTTTTTAAAATTTTATTCTCTGAGATGATTTCTGTAATATTATGTAAAGTGTACAATTTACAACGTTATTAAGATAATTTCTTTAAATCTACTTGTTATAAATATCATTAAATATAATTGTATTAATTATATTTAACGATATTATCGCGAATTCAGCATTCAGCAGTGTTTGATGAAAATTCTGAGTAGAAATCTTTAAACCAGTTCAGCTTCCTTGCTGGCGGATTCGAGCTGCTTGATTGCTGCTTGACCGTGAACCTATCGTGCGGTTGATGCACCATACAGAAGAAAAAAAAATACGAAACAATAGCCGTTCAGCTTGTCACTCGATCGCGACTCATCAAATCCTCTTGAGCGCTTTACTATTGTGTTTGTCATCTGGCAATCATTTTCTGGTGACATTGGTGACTGGAACAGTAATCTCTTCCACATGCATATTTACTCTTGGTAGATAAACGAATTAATTCCTCCGTGAAATTTTCATTGGTTGGCAAATAACTTTGAAACTCAATGTTCTTGAAGTTCTGTTCAATCAGAACTCTCGCCGACTTCTGTTTCATTTGTGAATCATCGCAAACTTTATGTTTCAAGTGTTCTTTTACGTCATCAGCTATTTTTTTTTTTTAATTTAGTAAAAATACTCTTGAAGTTTTTACATTTTTTGTTGTTGTAACACGTATTAAGAATAATTTATATTAATATTATACTTAGATATTTCGTTTAGATTGTTTATAACAGATAAGTGCTCTTATCTTATGCACAAGCAAGCCCGATAGTCTATTTGAGGAAGGCGGATTAATTAGGTCATCTCATGGTTGCTCTGATAGAAACGTGTGTTATACGTGACGCGACACAACCTTGATTCCCACTTAGCTTCGCTCTAGATGATGTTAAACGTTCGATTTCTCGCTACATTAACATTTCGACATATTTAGCTCTTGCACTAGTTGGACAAATTGTAATGTAATTTGTTTTATAACTTATTCTTACATAAAAAAAAAAAGGATTTTTGTTTACGAAAAGAGAAACTACGTGAAATTGTAATATATCCAACAGTGATGCGCGACAAAAATTGTGTGTTTGACATCTACATGCTAGTAATAAGTATCGAATAAAATAATTTATCTGCATTTCAGCGGGGAACGAGTGCTGAGGTCTCGTCAGCACGAGCGTGGAACTAGCCAGGAACGTCGATACAAGCGTAGCCACCGTCGATCGCCTAGCAGCGGGCGACAACATGGACATCGCGATCGCGATCGGGATCGAGCTCATCTAGCGCATCCCACGTCGTCCCGTCGTACGCGTCTCCATCGTCATCATGGCTCCTCGTCACCTAGCCAGGAGCGTCATCGTCATCGATCACTTTCCACCAGGAGTCAGGTGAGTCCGTGTGATAATGCACACTCAATAGTATATATTCTCTATATTACGCGTTTCTTTTCGCCACATATTGTACAGCGTCGCGACACACGACCGATGACTTTACGAACAGTCGATTCGATTGAGTCATACTTTCAACCCCTAATTCTACGAAGACATACACATAAGCAGACGCCATGTACTTGTCGACAAAACGTTATCAGCGAAATGCGTGCCGGATAAACGTGTATTTTAAACATAAATAATTCATTATTTGAAATTGTCTTCAATTACTTTGGAAATAATTTCTATTTCTCGAAATATGTAAAAATAATTTGAAAGCCTTAATCTCTTCGAAAGATATAATTTAAAAGTATTATCTCTTTATGTGCGCACATACAAAACGTACTCTCACGATATAAAAGTCCAAGTAACACATTTTCATTATCTTTTTCCTAATTAAACAGAAGTTAATAGTTTTTTTTTTTATCGAGATGTTATCCTTTAATGTTCGTTGTACAATTCTACAACCAAAATATGGTGTAGACGATTAGATCAGCTTTTATACGCTTCTTATCTTTATACTCAAAACAAACGATAATAATCTATGAAAGGAAACAAAATAACTCACCGAGTTAAGTAATAGTAAAGCAATCAGAAAAACAATCTGTGAAAAATTTAATCTCTCAGTCTCTACATTGGCTCTTGATAACAAGGTTCAGATCTCTCTGATGTTCAAACTCTGATGTTCTTATGCTATTTAACGAATTTCGACGCGTTGCAAGAATCTCTCAATAATGAATCAATATACATATAAAGAGTAGAACACAAAGAGAGAGAAAGAAGAGTTAACTTATGAATGTTTGTCGATTGGATCAAACGGAGAACAATCACTGGAGCAACATGCACGTCGGCTGTATGCTCGGAGCAAATACCGATGATTCTTCTTTCTTACTCGACGCCGGCTATTTTCGACCGACGACTATTTTCGAGGGGAACTCGTCACGCGGTTTCGCCGCGGTTTTAGTGCGAGTTTGCGCCAGATGGCCAACGCAACGTCGCCGTCGTCGTCGTTGTCGAGTAACGTCGTGCCGGCAAGTAGGCCGGTCCACCGAAAGCTGAGACTTCCTCGTCGCTGATTCTCCAAGAAGAAAAAGTTTGGGACTGAAGACAACGCTACGGGGTTTTAAATTTTTCCCACATTTGAACGCATTATTTCGACGGTAGTATCGATATCAAGATCTTCGGTCTAAGTCGAACAAGTTTCAGCTGTTCTTTTGCATTCAAACAGTGCAAAAGTAACGAATTTCCTCTCCCCTGCGGGGAAAAACTTAAAACCTCACTTACGAAAAGTATTGTGAATCGAATGTCGATCCCGATTTCGAAAAGTTTGGCGACACAGCCTGTGACCCAGAATTGTTTAACCTGGATTTAGAAATACATGTGCGTTGCAGTTGGCAAGATGTGTCTGTGAGACGCGGCGCAAAGTGTAGGTGTTCGGGATAAACCATTTGCGTTTTCACGCACGCCGTCAATCTGGATCCTGGAAATTGGGCCGGGCTTGGCAACGGCGGCGGTTTGGTCACCGATGATCGACCGTCGTCGTCTTATCAGGCAGCAGCAAGTCAGAATCTGGACTTTCTGATGTCCGGAAGCGTCCCCTGGTGGCCGCGTCACGACTGGGACGCGTGGTTGCAGCGCAACGTTACCGAGACTACCAAGGAGTTCAACGTAAAACTTGACGTCACGCCCGAAACTAACAATACATCGACTTCCGAGGTAGCAACAATGCAGCGAGATCTTCGTGTAGCACCGTTTTGATCTTAATTCCTCATTCGAGTGCGCATTGTCCACCCTCAGTGTATTTTTTTTTTTTGTGCATTTGGTAGCTACAAATCTACCCCCTTCCTCGAAGATAAAAACCTGAAAAGAGGTTTCGCTTCATAATTTTCCTTGAACGGTTTAATTGTTTTTCTTCACTTTTGTAATATTAAAAATTGTAGCTTTATCGTTCAAGTAACAGTTTTATTTTTTTTTTTTAGGTTTGTGAGGCTAAAATAAAATATATAAAAAAAAACCAGATTTATCCCTCTCAGAAAAGAGGTTAACACGTAGAACAAACGCGTTCATTTCTGTTGGCTATTCGCCATGCAGCAACAGCGGTGACATAGCGCGAGCTTGTCGAGTCGGTTAAGCCAGCCAGGACTTTAACATTTAAACGCAGCGCGCCGCTGATGACGCTGAGTTCTTCTGTACGCATGGCGATCATGGCGCACGCGTTTCAAGCTTACTCTGGTTTATATTTGGCATTGCCCGTTCTCGAAGATGACGACGACGCAACTTAGAGAACGAGAAGCGAAATGTTCCAGCGTGTTTTGGCGCCCGTTACTTATTCTCTTCCCTTCCCGTTTTTTTAACTCATCAGCGAGACCTAACCTTGGTCAATATTTTTCCGCGGCAAGGGAGCGGAAGAAACACGCGTAACTTTCGGCAATTACCTAATCTGGCGCTTCCGCCGTCTGCAAAACACAATCTTCCAATGATGATTTGTCGATCGGAACTTTCTGATCTTGATTCTTTGCGATTAATGACAATATATTCGCTCTTACCTTCGAGATCACTCGTGTAACAACAAATTTTTCAACTTCAAGTTCAATACTTGTTTATAAAAAAAAAAAAAGAAAAAAACGCGCCCACACGCGCGTATTTTAATTTTTAAATATAGTCCGATTTCTAAGTTTGAGCCAAATTAATCGGTCACTTCGCCAAAAAATATTTTTGAGATGATTCTGAAATTGATGTGGGCGAGTAGTCCCGCGCGCACGAACTACGTCGCTATTTTGTAGAAACGGCGTATATTTATATCGACAACTCGTACTTAAAATCCACGACAGGGCGATATCTTCGACCTCGCAACCTTGAAAGACAACTTCATGTTCTTATTAATAGTACACCGGAAGTCCGATCAAAAACTTATCTGCTATAATCCATTTGATCGAGAGATCTCTCTGATTTCGCGTCTGAGAATGAGTTTTCTTCGGAGAAAATTTCTGGAAACTTGATTTCATCGTGTTTTTTTTTTCTTTTGTCACTTGGAGGAAAATCTTTCTGTCGTTTCATCTTATGCTCAAGTGTCAATTTTCTCTCTCATAAACTTCTTTATGTTCTTCCACAAGAGAGATCTTTTGTGTTATTTTTACCCACATGCAAAGAGTGGGTGATGATCTCGCATCTGTTTGTAGTCTAAATATTGTCATTTGGTAAAAAGACAACAACTTGTGACTATTATGCGATCAATATTGGGCCACGCGGAGGACTTGCTCTACATCGAACTGGCATCGTTGCCGTTTCGTAATTTTCTATGTGTGTCAAGGTACGGAAAGCGCGAACGACGCGGTCCGCGTGAAAACACGCTCGGCGACACGAGGCAGCTCTCTCGAGATGCGTTTTCTCGTGACGCGTGCATCTCGTAAAAGCGATTATTGCCACCGGGCTTACATGGGAGCAACCAGGAAGCACGAAGTTGAGCCAGACTCGAGATCCGCACGGAGCGTCGTGCACGGAACTTCGACGCGTTCCGAAATAAAGTGCGAGACAATTTACGTAATACCGCCGCTGCTGATCCCGCTTCTTTTTCCCTTGCGTGTTTTTCTCTCTTCTTCTTCTTCTCACCTGTACCTCTCTTCGTCTATTTCGATCGTTCTATCTTTTTCGTTGCGCGTGTGAGTTACGCTAATCAAGCTCTCTTCGTCGCTCCGCTTGCTGATCACTCTTGAAAATTCGGTTTCGAGAGAGAAGGACGAATCGTTCTCGTCGGAGCGGGCGGTCTCACCACCGCTCCCTGATATTTTTAGTGCGACGAGAGAGTATTTGGCGGGGCGCACTGAGTTTCGCCTCGTCGTCGTCGTGATCTTCGTGAACGTCGTCCGTTCGTCGTCCGTTCTCCCTGACCGTCGTCGTGGTCATAGTTTAGTGCCTTCCTTCGGCGTGTTCGCGCCTTTCCGTAGTGATGTACCTGCGTAGAATATCGTTTCGTCAACTTCGGTGTCTTCGTTTTCGATTGCTACTGTCACGGCTTTTCTCTTTGCGCGACTCCGTCGCGGAGCATGTCGCGCTGAGATCATCTCGCAAAATCGTCTACGACGACCTTGAGCAATCGCGCGATTTCTTGATCTGAAAGATCAGGTTTTGATAAGAGATTTTCACTTTTTTGAGACAAACACAAGCCGCTTCAAATGTTTATATTTACGCCGCGCGACAACATGTCGACCTCGCGACAAGGTTCGACCTCACGGCGTAATCGTTACGCGCGCTCGTCCACCACGACGAGCGTGACGCAGATGCTGAGCGAGTCCTGCTCGAGTCTTCTTCAGAAGCTAGCAACGAGGGTGCGCGGAACATCCACTCTGAACGATCGTGGCAACACGGCCGCGAGACGATCGCCCAATCTCGGCCGATTGGGAAACACGCGAAGTCGCTTAGAGGATAAGTACAGCACGATCTTGGATAAATATTCAAGCAAACGGCACGGCGACGATTTGGAACGGGATAATCGTATTTATTCGAGGAAACAGGAGCGCGATCAGCACAACTACTGTAATCGCGATAACAGTCCGTTTGTGCGCGATGACAAGACTCTCGAGCCTTCGATGACTCGCACCGTTATCAAGAGTCCTACCAGCGTGATTCTCACCGAAAAAGCTTATCCTTACGTGACTTCTGCGATCAGCAAAGAACCTAGACGGGAAAAGACGCCCGCTTATCGTCGTACCGATCGACAGATCTTGCTGCTGAACTCGGATGCTTATCGCCGTTACGGCAGACACAAATCCGGACACGCGGAAACGCGCAATCGAAAAGTTAAACCGCATCGAAATGGCAAGAGCGAGCAGCTGGACACTCACTCGACGTCCCTCAGACTGTCCCGACCGGTAAAGATCGAGTCGTTAACATTTACAGACAACGAGGAAGTTGTGACCGACCCGGACAAAACCCCGATCGCGAACAGCAACGTAATCGAGAATCTTCAAATTGCTCAAAATGTTCAAAATGTTCAAAACAACGTCACTCAGCAGAACGCGCACGACGCCGAGGATGAGGATCCCGCGATCACGAACAGAGCGGCTAAACGAAAAGAGATTCAGAGTCTGATCCTGAAGTACGCCGCGATGGAGGATACGTACAGTCAGCTGGCAGCCGGTGGACAAACGAATGCCCGTCCCAGCATGACGGAACTCATCGCCAGCAAGTACAGAAAGAGCAATCATCGTAACAACCAGAACGACAACACGTCGAAGAGGATGATAGCCTCTTCGGACGCGAGTGCGATTAGGGAATTGAACGCGATCTGCGGCGCGATTGTAAGTTGTCGAACCGCGCCGCTCGAAATTTCACAGTCGCGAAAGCGGCCCGTTTTTTACAAGCAGAGCGTGTCGTCCGTCGCCGCTGTTGTTGTCTTGCTTGCTTCTGTCTTCTCTCCGCGTGCGTGTGTTGTATGCATGTGCACGCAAATCAAATAACCGCGCGTGCGTTAATTCTTTCCTCCGTGTCTTCCGATGCATCACTTCCTGCTGTACTTCACGCTGTCTGATCTTATCGCAACAGAATTGTCCTCTCGTCAGCAGTTGAAAAATTCTATTCTAACGCTATCTCTCGTTGCGATCAACTAAACGCTCGAGCACTTGAGCCAATGTTTATATATTCGTATACTTCACAGCCTTTGGACACAACAGTGCCATCTCAACACTTAGCCTTAATCCTGATCTACCTTATCGACGTTGATATATAATATCACACAATATTGCATTATTATATATTAACTGTATGTCTTTTCAACAATAAGAAGAGTGAGAGTCACGTTCTGTGATGCAGCATTTGCTGCGTATAAAGTACTACTTACGTTTTTACTTTTCGATTTAATTCCGTTTACTTTATTACTACTATATAATAAAGTAGGACGAAGAAATTTTCCCGAGACCTGTGTTGTTCACATTTATAATAGAGAATTGAAAAGCCGACTTGTTGCCACACAAATTGTCATTGCGTCGACGGTATACATTGAAACAAATTTTCCGTTTCACAAATTTCATATATATATATACATATACATACTGATAACGCGAACACGAGAAAGTACATGGCTCTGCTTCTCTTCTTCAGATACTTTCTGTTTTATTTCGTAGTGTGTAGAAATATGACTTGCAAGACTTTGATTAGTCGACAATCTTAACGACAGGTCAGATTCCGTGTACGTTTGTATATTCTCGATAAGGTAGGGTCGATATATATATACATATATATACCGATCAGTATTGTTACCTGTCGCAACGGCGCCCCATGAAGATCGAAAGTTAACACATCCGTATCGATCATCGTGGAGCGGCCGTTTGCGCGAGCACGTAAGTACCATGATGAATGAGTCTATGATGAAGCAATTAACAAATTATAACAAAAAGCTACGTCTCCAAGCGTGTTAGATGAAAGGTAAAAAAGGTGTTACGAGCACTTCGAAGAAGCTGTCCGTCGCTCGTCCGAGTAAATTTGTGTTTTCTTTTTTTTTTTTTTTTTTTCTTTTTTTTTCTTCATTTTTGTACTTGGTTTTTTGTTCTTCGTTGAGATTGGAATTCGGATTAATGAAGAACAATTTGTTGTTGTTCGCAGAGTAATCGTTGATCAATCGTAGAAATGCACGCATATATATATATATATAAATTGTACGTGTATTGTCGTTAAAATTTATTGACATATTTTATCTCGCGATTCGCGTACACGCCAATACCGATATATACTCTCTCTGCTTTTCTCTATCTGTATCTACATACATTAGAAACGTGTCGATAGTCCGTTTCACGCGCGACGTATTGCAAAGTTTTACTCTACGTAAGTCCGTGTGAAGCCGTGCGCGTGTGAGACGGCTCCTTCAAGGCACGCATATACCAGGTCTAACACGAATATATACATATATATAACAAAGTATGCACAGGCGAGCGGAGATAAAAGAAAAAATAACGAAAAAATAAAAAAACCTCGGATAAATATAATTAAAAATTATAAATATAAGAAAACGACTTGCCGTAACGCCAAAAAAAAAAAAAAAACAAATAAAAAGTTCGAATAAATAAAAGAAAAGCCGTAAAAAAAAAAAGTAATAACGAAAAGAAAAAGAAATATAATAGTATGCGCTTTGAACGGATGGTTAAATTCGTAACCACAACTTTCTGACTTGGCAAACCATTTTGCCCTCTCCCCTTTCTCTCTGATTGTTGGGTTACCATCTCCGTTGTAATGGAATGGAATGGAAATGGATATGGCACACACGGATATGGTGGTCGACTGACTGACTGGGCGCTCGGATCGGGTCTGTGGCGTCTCTCAATGATGACGATGACGATGACGATGTTATTCCACCCTCCTACACCCCCACCGTACACACTTGTACGTTCGTCCCGTGCTTACACACGTCCTCTGCCGCGTGTTACACGGGTACCTTCGCCGTCTCGCGGTGGTGGTGGCGGCGGTGGTGGTTGGATGACACACGATGATGTTGGCAATCGGTTGACGCGGCCGCCTCGACGATGCTACCCCCGAACATGGACACACACGGATGGTGACTACCTGCACGTCGACCGCTATGGCGCCTCCAACATTGGGATTATCACGCATCCTACTTCCGGCTCCACGATATCGAATCGGACCGACGCGAACCGGGGTACTGTGAATTGGGTCCAACACTTGGCATGCGCCGATACCGATACCGCCGGCCCAAATAGAGCCCACGACCGCCCTCCGTCGAGGACGACGATGACGGCCACCTTGTATACCAATCCGGCGACATCCTGGCGAATCGATGTTCGTGACTAAGTCAATACACTTTTGTAGTAATTAAGCAAGCCTCAGGTTGATTAATTGATCGATCGGTTATCTACAGTATATCTGCCCATATTCTCTGTCTCTCTCTCTCTCTCTCTCTCTCTCTATGTCTCTCTCTCTCTCTCTCTCTCTCTCTCTGTTTCTCTCTCTCTCTCTCTCTCTCTCTCTCTCTCTCTCTCTCTCTCTCTCTCTTTCTTTCTTCTCTCTNTCTCTCTCTCTCTCTCTCTCTCTCTCTCTCTCTCTCTCTCTCTCTCTCTCTCTTTCTTTCTTCTCTCTTCTCTTTCTCTCACTCACACACATACATACACACACTCTTTTTTTCTTTTTCTTACTTTCTGTTTCTTCTTTCCTTGCCTTAATTATAGGCGTTACATATTATGAAACAATATCTCTACGACACGAGAAGAGTAACAGTTTACACATTAATCACATTGTTGATGTATTGATGTTCTCGATGAGTGTCGCTGTTTAGTATACACACATATATACGAGCATATATATATAGATATATTATATAGATATATTATATACATTTATGTGAAAAAACAACTCACTTTCTACGTTATATATCCGCAGACACGTTTGAAGCGCGATTCTCTGTTTTTAGAACGAAAGTTTTCGAATTTTTCATCGCACGCGCTATATAACAATATTTACGGGGCTAAACAGAAAAAAAAAAAAAAAAAAAAAAAAAAAAAAAAAGAATAGATCTCTCTCTGTATCTCTGTCTTGTCTATATATGATTTATTTTCAGAAAGATTAAGAGTAACATGCATATATCCAATTATCACATAATATCAACAGAGCACGTCAAGGAAAACTCGTCAGCTCGACAACGACGACGACGATTATCGGGAAGTCGGCGCAGAGAAAGAATTTTTTTTTCTTTTTTTTTTTTTTGTCTTCACGTCTTCGCGATTCTCTTTTCAAACGCGTGAAGAATGTTATTTACGGAGACAGAGAAAATCGGAGGAAGAGAGGGAGCAGAGATGACGAGAAAAGGAACGAAAATCCGACAATTGCGCTATCTCGATACGTCCTCCTCGCGAGATGACGTGTTTTTCTCGCTCGTGATACTTGCGCGCGAGGACACCTGGCATTTCACTCTCGCGCGAACTCTCGCTACTCTCGTTTATCCTCGCGTTCCCGACGCGTCTCTTGAACTCTTCGCCTACACGTGCGCCTTCTCCCATTAAGTTTATAAACAACGAAAGAAGAAACGCGTGTGTGTATTTTTTTTTTGTTTTTTTCCACTTCGATTTTCGAGTAGCAAATGCCACGCGGTTCCCGCGCGTTCGTAAAGAGAAACTAAATCAGGCTATACCCTTAGCTAGGGCCCTTTAGGAAAGCAGCAGTTTCCGATCGATGTCATTTAAACTCTACGCGCGAGATACCGTTCTTCATTTATTCATTATTCCGTTCACCATAAAACCGCAGCATATATACGATAACGCACACGAACCCAGCCGAACGCCTACGCGGAAGGGTCTCGCCCGCGTGTCTTCTCTCTCTTTCTCACGTTTTCTTTATTTATTTTTTTTTCTTTTTTCTTTGAAATGCGCGACGGTTCTCCTTGAGCGATCTTCTTTTATCCCTTATCTAAAAAGAGCGACGAGAACCGGGGGCATCCGCTTGAAGGTGAGCGAGAGGGTTAGCCCCCGGTTTGTCGCGCCCGGTTCGACGCGGGCGAGCACACTCTCGTGTGGGCCGCAAGGCCCCGTATCCGCTGGACATTTACCCCGGTTTTTGCATTGCAGATAAAGTACTGGCCACCCTAGGAGAGGGTACTTTTGGAAAAGTTGTCAAGGTTAAGGACTTGCAAATGTAAGTGCCAGTTCATACATAAGTATAAATAGGTAATTTTACTTCGCGTCACGGTTTATCCGGTCCTCTCTCCTCCGTCCATGCGTCCTGGACCTCCATCCACATATTTATTTCTTGTTCTCTCTTTCTCTATTTTGCACGTACATCGCACGCGTCTTCGTTCGTTTTACGCTGAAGAATATCCCAAATGTTGCGACGACTCGTGGAGTGGTTGGACGGCGAGCAGAAATAGCTATCCGGCACTGTCACAAAATGACGCGCGAGTGGTCGCAATAATAGGATGGCCTTGCACTTTGTTTTACGAGCCAGGCGTTTACGATGGCCGCGAGAATTAGATCCGTTTAGCGGAATACGAAATTACGACGTGTAACGATCGTAGCGTTTAAAAAACGTCAAAAAAAAAAAAAAAAAAACGTGTTACGCTCCGCGATGGTGAAATTCGAATTGCGGGATATGAACGTGTGTACGTGTTCGAAATCACAATCGTTGTGCTAAATGTTGCAGGGATCATATAATGGCTCTAAAAATTATTAAAAATGTGGAGAAATACAGAGAGGCGGCGAAGTTGGAAATAAACGCTCTTGAAAAAATTGCTGCAAAGGATCCGGAAGGACAACAGTTAGTATATTATATATTTGTTTAATTAATTTATTTGTGCGCTTCACATCAGAAGATCTGATTTTTATTAATATATACATATATATCGATATTAATCGATCGAACAAAACGGGTAAGAAAGACGGTTGTTGTTAAAATTATCGATATATTTCGTTCTTTTTCAGTCTATGCGTGAAGATGCTCGATTGGTTCAACTATCACGGACATATGTGTATTGCATTTGAAATGCTCGGTCTGAGTGTTTTCGACTTCTTGGTAAGTAACCGGGAGAAACAGATATCTAACCGATATAACGTACTAATAAAAGTTATTTTTACAGAGAGATAACAGTTACCAACCGTATCCATTGGAACATGTTAGACACATGGGCTACCAACTTTGCTACGCCGTGAAGTTCTTGCACGACAACAAGCTTACGCACACGGATCTCAAGCCGGAAAACATCTTGTTCGTCGATTCAGATTACGAAAGCACATATAACAGTAAAAAGGTGTGTTATATTGTAATATTAAACCGTCGTTGTTATTATTGAACTTATCGGATGTGTTATGTTTTGGCACGTAATATGAGTTTTTCTTCTAAAGTGTTTCAAAAAAGCTTTTTCTTTTTAAGCGGAGAGACATGAGACGTGTGAAACGAACCGACATTAGACTCATCGACTTCGGTAGCGCAACTTTTGATCACGAGCATCATAGTACAATTGTTAGCACAAGACACTATAGAGCGCCCGAAGTGATCTTAGGTGAGTGCTTTTTTTAAAATATTTTTCGATAAACGTGACGATTGCATTATCGTAACGCAATGTTGTTGTTTTTTTTTTTTTGTACGCAGAACTGGGTTGGTCCCAGCCGTGTGACGTCTGGTCCATCGGTTGCATCTTGTTCGAATTGTATTTGGGCATCACATTATTTCAAACACATGACAATCGTGAGCATCTAGCGATGATGGAGCGTATACTCGGCTCGATACCGCATCGCATGGCTCGCAAAACCAAAACCAAGTACTTCTACCACGGCCAATTAGATTGGGACGACAAGAGTTCGGCCGGTAGATACGTACGAGAGAATTGCAAGCCGTTACATGTAAGTGTTTTTCAATTGAAAAACTTTAACTTTAGATTTTGAATGAATAATTGAATTGTCTTTTTTTATTTTTCGTTCTGTAAACAATTCGCATTGTTATGTTTGTTGTAGCGTTACATGCTATCCGATGACGAAGAGCATCGTCAGCTGTTCGATCTCATTCAGAGAATGTTGGATTACGAACCTTCGCAGCGTATTACCTTGAAAGATGCGCTAATGCATCCGTTTTTCGATGCGTTGCCAGCTTCTCAAAGATTACCTGATCCACGAGCAGCTGGTGACTCTCAACAGTCTCACGAACGATCACACTCGCTCTCTCGATGAAGCTAGGAAAGGGACCGACCTCCGTGCTGGACAGACACTCCACTTTCAACAACATTACTGCCCTACGTTTTCATTCTGATCAGATTTACCACTTCGTGATATGCTTCTTTCATAGCGATGATGAAATTCAAGTTCTGATGCTGAAAGATGATGCGTTATATACGTATATATCAATTACTGATCATCGGAATTTGTTCCAATTTCAAATACCGCACTTCTTCTGGCGGAACTATAAACATGAAAGTAGAAAAAGCAGTAGTGCGGTAGTGTCGTGGAACTTGGACTAATAATTTTGAGTGCTTTTCAACGAGTGCTTACAAGCGATCGAGTTATATTTCTCTTTATTACCAATAAGATCGTAGCTGATTATATAAATCTGATTATCGATCGCAAAAACGGCAACGAGGTCCCTGTTACTGGCGTATAAATGCCAGTGTGTCTGCTCAGTGTAGTGTAACAGAGTCCCACACACAAAATTGTAAACAATTTTTTAAATGCTATTCTCTGTACATTTTGTCTCTTAAATTTATTACCATGTTATTACTGTCACACAAAAAAAAAAAAGTACGAAGTAAAGATCACTCTTGGGGTCCGCAGTTTATAATATCTCTGCTTGTTATAAATTGAAGACCATGGACGTGTTCTAGCAGTAAGTATCAAACTAGTGATAAAGGAAAGAAAATAGTTTTACGCGTGAATCGTGTGTGTCGACTAAAGATCGAGAGAAAGGACGCGAGCGAAAGAGAAAGGAGTGTGTGAAGTACGATCATCAATTCGACGTTGTGTGAATTACATACAGCTCTTAAAATGTATAAGAATATATAATAATTATAAAGAAATGTTTTCACAAGAATTTTTTTCGTACCACGAATGGAGATGTTTCATTTTTGCAAACATGGAATTTGTAATATATTTGGCAATTTACTTTTTGGCCTAATAAAGCAAAATTGTGTCGATTCCATATATTTATGTTATTGTTTTTTTCTTTTTTGTTGTTTTTTTTTTTTTTTTTTTGTAATTACAACTTGAAATAACAGAAGTACTATTGCAGAAAGTGACGTTGTTACGCAAAGCCACAGTCTCGTTTTTACTTTTGTGTCACAAACACCTTTGATTTGCACAACTGTGTATCATCCAATGTGTAAGTTTTGTTTGTTCTTAGTTATATCTGCGAAATAAACGCGGTTTGATATATGCCGCTGTCTCATCAAACAAGGGAAATGTTTAATAAAAAAAGCGATGTTTCGAGTAGCAATAAAATAAATACAATTTCTTTCAAATATCAGCATCGATATATTTATTTGTTCAACCAGCAAATAAATTCTCAAAATAAGCTTTTTCAAATATGAAAAATGTCGATGTTTGCGTTGAACATATGTTTATTTTTTTTTTTGTGACATTTAATAAATTTATCTTACAAACTAATTTACGTTTGCACGCGTACACAATGCTTGAAATAAGCCCGATCAACAGGCTACAGAAAAACAAATAGTTTGCTAATAAAATTTAAATTCCCGAGAACACATTCTTATTCTGTCTCCCTTATTGGACCCAAAAATCGTCAAAAAGTTAGGTCTTCGTCTAAAAGGTCTTCGGTAAACTTAAGTAATTTACATTTTCGGCCACGGATAAACCGGAGGTATGGACGACTTGTAGCTTGTATCGTACAACTGTGCTTTGACAAAAGCCTCGCAATTTTCAGGCTCCGGTTGTACTGATGCCAAACCTGCATGAAGAAAAGCAAAAACTCTTTTATTATAAACAAAAACAAGAGTAATTTTTTTCTACATGATGGAACATGCAAGATGCTTCTTCAATGTCTACACATCTTCGTGATGTTTTTTTATACTCACAGTTATCGTAAGCATACTTCACTAGCTTGCACGCTATTTTCAACGAACACATCTGTATGTCAGACAGTGGCGGATAAATATTTCCGCTGTTCAACTGGGCATCCGATACCAGTTCAGCAAGAGTCGTCGCGGCCATAAGGAAAACATCTTCAGGAATCGTACGCATACCGGCACATATCGCTGCCAGCGCGATTCCTGGAAAGATGTAACTGTTATTACCCTGGCCAGGATGAAGAGTCTTGCCCTTGTATTCAAATGGTGGGAAAGGCGAACCACTTGCGAAAATGCATCTTCCCTGTAATTGATTATCAGTTTGATTTATATTAACATATATATCCAAGAATAACAATAATAGTTTAACACGAAAATAATGGAAAAATATTATCGCGACAAATTCCTGAATGTAATATAAAATTTCAAACCTCCGTGGCGGTGTACGCTTCTTCGGCAGTGCATTCCGCCTTGCTTGTTGGATTACTCAGAGCGAAGATAACAGGGATTTCGTTGTTCCGTCCCATTTCTTGCAATATTTCTTTAGTGAAAGCGCCTCTGACAGCAGCTGCGCCGATGAGAACCGAGGGTTTGACTGTTTTAACAACTTCTATCAGAGTGTCAATTGGTTGGTCGTTGCGAGCATAGTGCAGTTTGTGTTCCGTCAGTCCACCTTTCGGACGATTTTGAACGATCAATCCTTTCGAGTCCACCATCCAAATTTTGCTCTTCGCTTCTTCTTCCGACACTCCTTCCTTTTGCATCGCAATTACACATAGCGATGCAATGCCCAACGACGCCTGCAAATAGTTTGTTGTTTAAAACTATTGAGCTTCTTTCACAGCGCTTTTAAATGTCTGTGTCTAACTTTATATTTTACATTTTTTTTTTTTTTTATTTTATTATTATATATATATATTTTTTTAATGTATTTTTTTGAGAGAGAAAGATATTAACCTCCCCGGCACCCTGAAATACGATCGTATTTTCCGAGAGCTTCTTGCCGGTAATACGAAGCGATGCCAACAGACCGGCAACGGCGACGGCGGCAGTACCTTGAATATCATCGTTAAAGGTACAATAGTCATCGCGATACTTGCTGAGTAGTCTGAACGCATTGAGGTTTCCGAAATCTTCAAATTGGATTAACGTATTCTGGCCGTATCGCTTCACGACAGCCTGCATGAACTCGTCCAAGAACTCGTCATATTCCGACCCAGTGACACGCCTTTGCCTGAGACCGATGTACAGAGGATCGTCTAGTAAAGACTGTGAAAAAAAAAGTATAGAATTTATCAAACAATTTGTATTGTTGATTCTAACTTGAGCTACTTACATTTCAGATATACCGTCACACATACCTGAGTATTGGTGCCAACATCCAAAGTAATGGGCAAGCAATGATGAGGCTTGATGCCAGCTAACGCGGTGTACAACGACAACTTTCCTACGGGAATACCCATACCGTGCGCACCCAAGTCACCTAGTCCCAATATTCTCTCACCGTCCGTAACGACGATCGCACGTACGTCGTGCTCCGGCCAGTTCTTGAGGACGTCATAAATATGACCCTTGTCGTGGATGCTTATGAAGAGACCGCGCGGTCTTCGATAAACTAGACCGAATTTCTGACACGCCAGACCCACGGTTGGCGTGTACACCAGCGGCATCATTTTACTTACATCCTCTATCAACAAACGGTAGAAGAGTTTCTCGTTTCTGTCCTATGGGAACAATACTCTATGTAAGAATCAAGCGTGAAAGAAGAAAAACGTAGGCCTGATCAAGCGGGGGAGGAGAAGACTAAATAGCGTCTTCGATCAAACGGCAGCAATTAAACTGCCCATGTTCATGTACCAGTAGGCCTATGAGATAAATGTATTTCGAGAGCTCGTCCGTGTAGCGGTCCAGATTGAGGCGACAAAGCTCTAACTGTTCTTCTTGAGTTTTTACGGCTGCCGGTAGGAGACCATGTATACCCAGCGTCTGTCTTTCCTCGATGGTAAATGCCATACCCTGAAACACAACAATATAATATTTGCTTAATATATGCGCTTGTGTCACATATGGAAATAAAATCAAAACTAAAAGTGGCACATTTAATGATTATTTCAATTCTCTTTGTTTTTGTGCAACATTGCAAAAAGGAATTAATCTACGAGCAATTAGTCGGAACATACAAACATTTTATGACTCGTTCGACTCCGATCACATTGATAAGCATTGACTCCGACCGCAATTAAAAATAATGATATAAAAATTTGCTGACTGTGTGATTACAGCCAGATTAGGTGAAAGGTGATCGGCTGATCGTCTCACGTCTATTTTTAAAAATGTAAATGTTGCGATAAGGTCTGGTGACAAATGTGTATGTGTGTGCGTGTGCGCGCGTGAGATTTAGAAAATATCTATAGTCTTTCCATGATCCACATTCGCTCCCGAGAATAATGACAACGCGATGCTCGCGGCGATATTGTGACATGATCGTATTTTACCGCCAATTTTTTTTTTTTTTTTTTTTTTCTTCAAAGCGAGTACTAGAACCAGTGCCAGGTAATCAGTCACTCGGATGGCTGCTGATGTTACAAATTTATTGCGTCATCAAAATGTTATTAAACTCGCACTTCGCTCGCTCGCACTTTGAACGAAATCTCTATACTGAGGGATGAGGTGATTTCTCATCCGACTTGGCTTATCTAACTGCGGTTGATGAACCACGCTACCCGACGATGATTCCATCACCTTCGTACGCCACGAAAGTTCAGCGAGTTTATTATTATTCGCGCAAAATGATAAATCAAATCGACCGCTAATCAATAAGACGCACTGTCTGCGGTGCTTCCTTTTATATGCACTTTGTGCTGAATATTCCATACACATCTAATTATAATTAAACGTTAAATATTTCTTTGTACGGAATTCTTTTTTTTTATTTTAACGAAATGTGTGTGTGTGTGTGTGTATGTGTGTGTTTGCGTCGTTTTCTATAACGAGATATACTACTCGTTAAAAAAAAAATTGCAAAATGTGCAATTACGAAAAAAGAAAGAAAGGAAACAGAGAAACAGTTTATGTTATACGATATGTGTCATATCGCGCAGTCACGGGCTGTAAATGCTAAACGGTGTGATACCGTCTATTGTGCCGGGGTAATATCTATTATAATGTAATCTCTCTTCTCTTTATAGATTATCAGCTTACATAAAGTTAAAAATTTCCAGGAAACACAAGACATTTTTGCGAGAAACACAAAAAGCTCTTACTTGATAATTTCAACTTTTTTTTTATATTGTCAGATAAAATATATCTTTTTTTAATATATATCGATTTTAAACTGTCGCCATTTGCGATATTCTCGGCGCTTTTTGAAGAGACGCTTTTGAAGAGATCTTTCTCGAAATAAATAAAAACGCTAATTCGCTACGGGACGGTGAGTTGTGTATAATAATTGAATCTAATTCGACAGGTCAGCGCGCTCGCACCATCCGCCGTACTTTTCCATTATAGACAGACCCTCTCTGTCCATTTAGTTGCGTTCTAAAACGACGGCTGTAAAAAAATTATCCGTGTGAAATGTTATTACCGATTTTGTCGTTTAAAAACATATTGTTGCGTATCATAATTACACAGCTATTGTCTCATAAAAGTTTTTATTATACTACTTGCTGCTATTTGTGCACGCTTGTAAAGTTTTTACTGATATATATATTCTCACTCGATAATATCCGAGGGAAAAGACAATGAGCCACGTTGTTTTAATGAAATATAAAACTTCGCGGCATGTTTTTTATTGTCCGTTGATAATGCTGACAAGGCTGTTCCGAGAGCGCGATTCAGTACGCGTTTCTCATGTTTGCACGCACTTTAATCACAGGAAAATATACAGAATTCGTCACCGAATAAGGAATGCGTTACCGCATGCGAGTAACAAATAAAGAGAAGAAGGCGTCTTTCGTGCGCATACATACTACAACTAAGTTAATTATTTTGACGCTACACATAAACAGTGTTTTCCGTTATCTAGATAAAATTATCTAGATGTTCATCTAGATGTAATAATTGTTTTATTTTATCTTTATCTAAATAATTAAAATATATGACATCTTTATCTGTATCTCAGATAAAAAAAGTAGTATCTTTTGTAAATTATCTAAGATAATGAGTACGCACTCTGAATGTGACTTTTCAGTACAGGATAACAAATAATTGTACTTCGAAGAAATCGTTTATCCGATAGCACATTTGAAAAACTATTGTTTTTAAAAACTAAAACCTTATAATATATTTACATATTAACCTTATATATAGAATAAATGTAATTTACTTATTACATACTTATAATATGCTTATTATACTCAAATGTATAATGTATATCAAAATATACGCTTATTTTCTATAGATTTTCTTGAGATGTATTTAATTTCCTAACTTCTTTAATATCTTAAAATTATCTAGATAAAAATCTCAACTAAATCATCTTTTATCTAGATATGATCAAATCGGATTATCTTTATCTTATCTGAGATACATACGTATATGTTTTATCTAATCTGTATCTAGATTATTTCAAATTATCTAAGCGCAACACTGCACATAAATAAATGTATTACGGCGTATATTACAAAAAATGTCGAAACGCGTGAATACACATATTTTTTGGCGGTTGTATGGAAAACAAAGAAGTCGGGAATTTTGATATATATACAGACTTCGATCGTTCAACAAAATCGCAAAATCGGTCTTAGCTATAATACCCTTCCGTCCAGAGCGAGCAGAGTTTCCGGGACGTGTGGGCTTCGGTTCCTATCCGGAATGAGACTCCACCAATCGTTGTCCATTATTATTTGTCGTCGCCGCACTATCACTGTCAAAATTGTTCTTCGAGATTTTTAACATCTCACGACAAAACAACCGACCGTGGAAACGGTTGCTGGGGTTCTTGACTCCCGTGACGGCGACCCTACGACCTGTGCACGGATCGATAGGGGGCTGGCCCTGTTCTTCAATTCTTGAATATAAAGTGGCTTTTCGTGACCTACCGCAAGGATTATACGTATGCCCCGTAAGCTTTGAAACACGTACGAGACCGTTTGTCGCCGATCAGAATATTGCAAATAACACAGATAAACTATATATAGATAAGGCGGTTTCCAAGGTATACGTGGAACTTATTTTTCACGTCTCTTTTGTCGTGCGCGTTTATTGTCGAACAAACGTATTGTCACAAATGAAAACGAAAAAAAGCATACCCCCCCCCCCCGATGGGAAAAACATTTGTGAAATTGTGTGACAAAATCTTGCATGAAAATTGTGTGATTTGCAATTAAGTAGATATATTTTGAGAAATAGAGATGTAAAAAATATTGATCTTTTATCAAATATTTGTAACCGTTTGCAAAATTAATTTCCAAATACTATTTCGGCAAAACGATATGGCAAATCATTTTAGCGGTATGTTTGCAAAATTGAACTTAAAAAAAAATTGTTCAATAATTGAGAAAAAAATTTCAGCTGTGTGGTGTTCAAAACATGTAGAAATATATATTTGCATATAAAGAAATCAAATTAATTCATGTATATATACTTATGAAAATGCGTAACGACTCTTTTCTCATTTTTGATAAATATTATTTACAAAATTTTATTTTGACAAAAAACCTGTTGCGTTGTGGCGAATCGTGTTAGTGCAATCATTGCAAAATCTTCGTCATTCATGATGCCATTTTTGTCCAATATTTTTTCACAATTTGCCTATTGGGGTACGAGAATAAATAATCTTTTGCTTTCAAAAATTTAGAGATTTTTTATTTCTCTGTTTATCTTCGCGGCATTTTCAAAAGGTTGACATTTAATTAATTGCAATTATACGTTTTTAACGTTTTGATTGACATCGAGATTACAAACGACTGAAAAAATTCAAAAATTAAATTATAGAAATTTGTCAGGGCTGTATCAACCGCGGATTGCAATTTAGTTTCGTGATTGCGCAAGCGTATTAGCGTGAGTGTTAACGGAACTGTGTGATATCATCCTGCAATTTGTCGAACTGTGATGCAGCTTGAATTTGTAGTTAAACTTCGCTCACAGATCCGCGAAGCTTTTGTTCATCGTGAATCATTTCTATATTTTGCTTTCCGCAGTAGAAAATGTTTCCTTTGGTTTAGTTCCGCCGCGTTCACATTTATTCAGTTTATGTTTAATTCACAAGAATCAACACAAAAATTGTTGATCTTTGACTCGTTTTTTTCTTCGAGTCACAATAACTCTAGGTTTCGATCAGATACAAGAGCGTAGATTAATAATTTATAAGGATAGTTCGATATAATGATGACGCATGTGTTTTTCTCTCACGACGGTAAAAATATTTGCTTATTTAACGCAAAGGTGTTCTTTACACACGTTATGGAACAAAATTTTTCGTTTTTTTGCAATACTTGACTCGCTTGTTCATTGTTTGTCGAGTTTAACAAATTGACACATTTGCCGACTCGCAATATCAGCCCTCAAATTACAATCGGTTGTTTTATCGATCGCATCTGAGCGACAACGCGATTGTCACGTAGCAATTATCTCGTCGCTCTTGGATCGCGACGTAAATTTTTTATTTTATTGCGCAAATGATGATCTGTATGCGCCGAGACATATCCGGAGGCCTTACCTTGTTAAGTTGCGGGTTTCTGATATGGTCGAGGCCACGCAGAAGACCGGCGCAGACGGCGTCGCCGCTTCCTCGTTGCCCCAGCTGATCGCGTTCCAGGTTCGACATGGTCGACAACGATTTGTTCCTGTTGGAGTCGGGCCGACTACTGGTTTGAATCCTACGGAACAGAGCGACGAGTATATGAACACGCGGAGAGATCACGCACACACACGCGCGACGGCACGTCGTCGGTGGTATCGCGAGCGCAAACGACGTATCGCGTCGGCGACATCAAAGAGTGCGGGGAGAATTATAAAAGAGCTACTGCTGCCGTGTTCGCTACAGGTGGCGCGGTTTCTCTCATATAAAAAAAAATCGTTTTTCTAATACGAAATGCTATCCTTAACGTACTCTGTGCGTCCTTAATTTTGTTCCTGATTTTCTGAGTTTTTTTCTTGATTTTTATTAAAACCAAATACAATGTTCGTATTTCTAGAAATTTTGTACAGGCAGTTCTCTGTATAAATATTTCTCTCTGCGATCGAGAACGTCTTATTGATTTGTTTTTATTCGCGATTATATCAATATTAAAAGGTTTACGGTCTCTGTAAAATTTTGCAATTTTTTTTTTCCCCGAAACGATCTAACGTCAGGGCGCGGATTGTATCTAACACGTACCTGCAAAAGAGGCACGACTCAACGCACGCGCGTTTTATTCGCGCAATCATGCAACATCATGGTTGAATAATGATATACTAATGATTGATTAAACGTGAGAAAATATAGAATAGATTGCGGATACCGATTTTACAATTTTACAAACTCGCTATCGCGACGCGGAGCAAAGTACAAAATCGAGCGAACAAACGTTTCCGTTTACTTCTCGCGTCGTTTCGATCGAAGTTTTTCAAGTGCGTCCGTTGCATTTCATTCGTTAGATTTCAGTTGTTGAAACTAGTACCGAGTGAGGCCTATTACATCATCCGCGTACTATCTACACGCGGAATTATTGTAATTACACACAACGGACATAATTACTTTTTAAAAACACATTCGCTTGTTTATGTTGCACGAAGAAACGTTACAACAACACTTTTTAGAATTAAAACTAATTCGAGATTAAATTACAATTGGACTAATTATAATAATAGAAAGTGGTACAACACTATCTATAGGAAAGTAACGTCGGCCTCGGAGATTCGAAGTAAAACCAGAAATTCAACAAAAAGAAGAACAAGTGACGCAAGAGTTTTCGCGTGTTACTCGATCAACGCGACAAAATTCACCTTTTACAAATACATTGGCATTATATCGGTATTTTACCTGTCGTTGCACATATGCTGATGCTGACGACAGATTTCAGGTTCAGAGTCGATTGCGTAATGCAAGCCGCTCGTTCGACGGAGAAAACCCGTGAAATCACCACCGAGTGGTTTGAGGAACTGCCTCGAGGACATGTTTTACACGGACTAACACTTTGCGTGTGTCTTATCTTTCTCGTCGTCGAATTAAAGCGGGGAAAACGATCGTCGATGGACGATTTGACATATATATATATATATACATATGTACGACGTGTGTTTTATTATCAATAAATTTCTTTCCCTCGCGACGGGCAGACTGTCTCGCGCGTGGACACTGTGTGTTTATCATCGACATCGTTTTATCAGAGCATGACACATAACTGATGACGCTCAATCACCTTATACCTCGAACTACGAGACGATTTTTAATTCGATCACTTTCTCTCAACACGCGAGACTTGTTAATTCCGGTCTTGTTAATAATATCTTGAGAAACGTAATCCCGTAATTCAAAATCTGATTGCTATACTAGATCACACACACATTTTTATTTCAGATTCGAAAGAAGATAAGAACTCTTAGATTGAAGACTGAAAAGTAAAAAAAAAAAAAGCAATCTTGTAACTTTAGATGAATTTTTAGGTCAATCTTGTCATCTTTGATTAAACTAATCGGTTAAATGTCGATCGTGATTGGTCAATTCTGCCAAACAAGTAATCCAATCGACCAGTTCCAATGGAATAAATCGGTTAATCGAAGTTGGTGAAGCGACTCTGTACTTCTTAGGACAAAATATGTTTCGGTCCTTAGCCGCAAAGTGTGTTAAAACGTACTACAAAAAGAGACAGAAGAGACTTACATCTTGCAGTCTCGGTGTTCGCTATCTTTGGAGTGTTTGTTGCCCATCTCGTGACAGATCGAAATGTTTTACTAACGATCTATAGCGCGCGGAGAGATGTGTGTAGAAATTTTTTTCCCCGATCTCGCTATCGATATCACAAACAATGCAACAAAATAACTTTCTATAACGCCCAGGTGGACGCGAAAGATTAACGTGTGCGCCGATTTAGCGTATTTCTGTGTCGGAATTTTAAAAATGAGTTTTTTTTTTTTTAGAAAGAAAACGATTTTTGTTACACACACGCCAAGTAAAATCGCGAGCTCCGATCACGAACAGATCGCGAATATGACTAGCAGAACCGTCATTGGTTCAAGAAGAAGGAGAACGGGCCTGCACACAAACCGAAGTGTATCGCAATCCATAATACACTTATGTACGTTTCGGAAAGTAAGAGAATCCAAATGAATTTTTCGTTACCTCCGCGTTTATCTGACATACACGTTTTGCGTCGAGAGCCGCGTGTTGATTCCGCATGTGCATACAATTCAATGAATAACAACGCGTGAGAGAGATCGGTCTCAGATCGGTCGATCTTTATGAATGATAAATAAAAAAACTTACATTTCAACACACAATTTGCACTTACGCGCGCGCGAAACGTCTCGTGTCGCTTGTGGACGAAGCTGTTTTTCTGCTAATGTTGAAAAAACGAAATTTTTTTTTTTTATGAGAATGTCAGTTACACGTAACAAAACAATTATTATACAATACGTGTTCAACCTCGAAAGATAGTAGCATCTCACTGGAAGCGTCCGGATTACAGTCAAATTACTCTTGACAGGCATTCGCGAAATATTTTACGAATATCTCGTTATCTGATCGATAATCGTTTCTCGTGACAAATGAAGATATGGCAATATGAATTTTTGTAGAATGCAGCCGTAGATATTTAAGACTCGCAATTAGACTTTTCTGCAGTATTTGTTAAAGCGCAAATTATATATATATATATATATATGTATAAAGATATTATTGTATTTCTGTGCGTATAATTGCTACATTTTGTTTATTATATTATTCTTATAATATATAAATATATATTATAAGATTATAAGATATCTTATAATATATAAATATATATTATAAGAAATTTATATATAATAAATCTTATATATTTATAATGTATAAATATATATTATAAAATTTATTATATATATATAAATTCTCATGCACATTATTGTAAAATATTGTGAAAGGAACGTGAATACTGCCGCGTTTTACGAGTTTTCTCCCGACGAAATGCTTTTGTAATTGTTCAATGGCAGGGGAAGTGAACGCATGGTGAAAGTCGTAATTTATCGCAATATGGACATATCCGCGGAAAAAAGAGAGAACGAGAAATAATTTTATAACTGTTTTAAACTGTTTGAGAAAAATCCAGTTATTTGTTATTGTTTATTCTAATACAAAATCTTTTTTTTTTAGTTTGACGATCATAGTTAGTTCAATATATGTGTATATTGTAGAATGTGTGATTTTATGCTCTGTGACTAGTTGTTCGGTTGATTGCTGATATAGTTTTTGTTCAACGGTGTTCCTTTATTGATCACACTCGACGCACGTGTTTTGATTCTACGTACCTACACAGCACTACATCACAGCACGACATAAGTTTGTAACATCTGATCAGTGTGATTGTGAAACGAATTGTTCGAACAGTTCGCGCATATATTTCTGAAAGACTGTCGAATTTATTTTAGTCCATTGTTTTGCGTGGGAACGAAAACACAATGGCGCAAATAGGAAATGTGGTACGCGAATTATTTTTGTGCACACAAATGTTTACGTACTGCTACGTTATAACCTAACTGATATAGAGTTAGCTTTCAATATGTAACGACTAAAAAATTATCATTAAATTTATGTCTTATTCTACATTATTCTGTTTTTTTTAAATCCTACCTTTTTGTAAAAACGATTGTTGTAACAAATAAATATCTACCTTTAAGACGGCAGATCAATTAATTGCTGGATCCAGTGTGTTGTCAAGACCCGCGGAAGAATTCGACAATGATGTAAGTGGAATCTGCGTACAAGCGCCACACATTGTGTTACACTTTGAATTATTTATTTTACATATGAAAAGAATATCTATATACGTATCTTCTTATGCTTACCTGTTGCTATTTTAGCCATCCGTAGAAGCAATGTGGGCGATGAAAGCCATGGAACATGCAGAGGTTTATTTCAATGTAAGTTTTTATGATATTTAATTTTATGCGCACAACTTATCAAAGTTTTAAACAAAAAAACAAATTTTATACGATTTAGATTTTGTGCTCGGTTGACCCCAAGTTTTTGAAACTCACACCTCACGACGAACAGATCTACAAGGCGTTTAAAGATAGTTTTCCTACCATGAAAGTAGACAAAATAGACGAAGATGAACTGAAATCTCCAGAAGGAAAGGCGAAATGGAGGCCGTTTTGCGAACAATTTAGAGACATTGTAGAGGATTACAGTTTTGGTACGTTATTAAGGGCAGATTGTACCGGAGATTATTCAGAAGAGAATAGCATATTGACAACCAGAATACAGTTCTATGCCATAGAACTTGCCAGAAATAGAGAAGGTTTCAATGACGGCGTGCGAGAAAAATATAAACCAAAGAAAGCTGTAAAAACATGATCGAATATTGACTGCAACTACGCTAGCGCCACTAAAAACAAATTCAGACGTAGAAGTTCTCGATTATTCCTTTTTATGATTTTTAAATATGTAAGAAATATACAATTTTATAAGACATATACAATAAAACAACAATACGAAAATAATAGGTGTGGAAAATTTATTGTATTTTTTTTTTTTTTTTGAAAGAATTTTATTTTTTTTAAATTAATAACAAGAAGATTCTTCGGGCTCAGGAGTCTTTAAAACTAATGAATGAAATAAATTGGGTTGTAAGAGCCGTTTGCAGGATGTTGCGCAGAGATTGTGCTTAAATATATATATACATATGTATACACATATATACTTCGAAATAATTTTTTTCCTCCATATAGGATGCTGGATTTGCATCACATATATATGAAGGACCCCGTATACCACCCTAACTAATTTTAAAATATTATCAGATTAATATTCGATAGATGTGCTAAGTATTGCGAGACAAACTCCAAGTGCCTCGGTAACCTAACAGGGAAAGCGACGGCCCGGAAAGCCGGAGATTCTAGGTTTGACTTCTGGCTGAGGAGTTTGTTTCGCAATATTTTAAAATTAGTTAGGGGGGTATACGGGGTCCTTCATATATATGTGATGCAAATCCAGCATTCTATATGGAGGAAAAAAATTATTTCGAAGTATATATGTGTATACATATATATATATTTAAGGACATTCTCTGCACAACATCCTGCAAACGGCTCTTACAACCCAATACAATTTATTTCATTCATTCATTTATTTTTTTTTTTCGTCTGGTATCTGCAAACTGATCAACGGATTCGACGCTCGAGCTTGATACTTCGATTTGACAGCTGTTGCTTTTGATTGTACCGCATCTCTATCAAACTTCCTTTTTCTTTTTCCTATTCCTAAATTTCTCAAGGTTGGTGGTATTATGTATTCAGGTACGTCCTTCAAATGTGATTGCAATTTCACTGTGTGTAATGCCTTGTCCTGGCGCAGTGACTGCAGATCTCGCGGATTATCCTCAAAGTAGCTTTTGAGTTTTTCGCAATTCAGAACTTCCTGTTTGATCTCCTTTAATCGCGCCTCTCGAACAGCGATTCTTGTAACAGCCTTCCAAGCATCTTTTGCACGATACCTGATTTAATTAATATCATTAATATCATGAACACTTCCGCGAGTCAATTTGTCTCGCGTTAAAAAAAAAGAATATGTCATCTAATTAAGTATATCAATGATAATAATGAGAAAAATTGAACACGCACCGAAAGCCTTCCACTTCTTCCAATTTGAACATGTAAGTCTTAAATAGATTTTCACACTGGTAGGTACGCTTTAATTGATCTCCTACTTCCTCCATCAGTGTTCGTTCTCTGATTGATACAAAACTAAGAGCGGTTCCTGTATTCTTGCCGCGAGCAGTACGTCCCGCACGATGTATGTAAGAATTCACATCCAATGGGAAATCAAAATTGATCACATTAGATACAAATTGGAAGTCAATGCCACGAGCCACACCCGATTCCTTATCTTTCTTCCGTTTGCTTTTCTGTGTTTTTACCACGTGCGGCTACAAAAAATAAAAGTAATAGTTTAAATGATGAATGTCACGTGCAATAAGTATGTAATGTGCGTACAATTTTACCTCTTCTAGAGCTTGTTCATCCGATGCGATTATGATAGAGTAAGTGCCAGTGTTGAATTGTGTAACTGCCCGACATCGGGAAGTTGCCGGTAACTCAGAATTCAATACACAAGTCGGAATACCGAACTGCTCAAGAAACAGCTTCAATTTGTAACATCTGTCAACTGTGTTTACAAATATTATGGTCTTTCCCCTAAAACAAATATAATAAAATTGTAATAATCTTTTTTTTTCAAAACATAAACTAACTTTATATAATTTAAACTCATTTTAAAAAAAAACATACTACCTAATTAAATTCAATTTTAATAAAGCATATAAAATAGCAGCTTTATCATTTTCCTCTGCAGCCAGTGTGTAATGAACCAATTGGGTGGGAGGTGCTAAAGGTGGTTCTTCCAGCTTCAAAATTGCAGGATTATGTAAAACTAATTTTTTCAATGTCTGAACATCTTCAGACAACGTAGCTGATGCTAGAACTGCTTGATACGCCACTGGCAAATACGTTAAAACCGTTTTAATATCGTTCTCCTTACCGAATGAAAATAACTGTAACAATCAATCAGCGTGTTATTGCATCTACATAATCCAAAATTTTTGCAATAAAAAGATTTATTCAATAAGATCAATGCCCGATTTCTTCATACCTCCCAATAGCTATTCTCTGAATAAAGATATCGGTCAGATAATAAAACACTCATTTTATAAGCTTTACAGAGGTGAAGAAAATCGATTCTGGAAGATATCTTTTAAATAAAGTTATCAAAAATTTATCTAGAAGTGAAGAAATTGGGCATTAGAGATCATAAATATTAGTAAATGCTGAAAATATTTTAGTTTAGCAGAAATGTGTTGTCTATAATTAATATAATGTTGCAATATAAATATATACCAGATCAGCTTCGTCAATTATTAACGTTTCCAGGCTGTGTTTCACCTTCAAGTTTCCCGCTTTTAAATGTTGCAGTAACCGGCCTGGTGTACCGACAACAATATCTGGCATTTCATTTAATAACGGTTTTTGAGCATTTACATCTATCTGCGGACTGATGTCAACCACTCTGACTTCTCTAGAACATTTCACAGTCAAATTCACAATGACATCGTGAATTTGCTTGCATAATTCCTTAGTGGGTGCAACAATTAGACCCTTAACTTCTTGCTTGATCTGCATGCGTTTGTTTGTTAATATTTTCTGAATGAGCGGTATTGCAAATGCCGCGGTCTTGCCAGAACCTGTACGAGCTCTGATTAAGACATCCTTTCCTTCCAGTAACAAGGGTATTGTCTTCTCTTGTATTAATGTAGGTTCCAACCAGCCTAATTTAGCAATGGCCTATACATACAAATATTTATATTTAAAATATTATTTTCAAAACACAACTCTATATATTATTCTGCGCATAGTTTAAAAATCATAATTTTACTTCTGTACACACACATGTATATATACATATACAACAGAAAACTGGTATATTTTAATACAACTTATCAACCGTTAGCGCACATTTATATCATGTAATCATGCTTGCGATAAGCGATTTCTTCATTTTATTTTTCACCTAAGAACTATCAATATATCGAAGAAGAAAAAACAGCTTTTTTATATAATGGATATTTTATAAAAATATTTCATTTAAAACAAAATATTTAATTTTTTCTTCTAAACATAACCTCGCATACACATTTTTAAATTTGTTTTAAAGCTCCTACCTTTAATATCCTGTCGTCTAACTCTAGTTCGTGAAAACTCTTCGGTTTTTCATCGTTTTCCTCATTTATTTCAGTTGATTCCATTTTTTCTGTTAATCTTAGAATCGCGAAACGTTTATAAAAATTTCAATTCGCGTACCTATAAATCTGTCACACAGCCACGTGACTGTTTCACGCTGACGAATTCCACCATAGAGTGCACACGACGCATCGAAAGGCTTATTATTTTTGGCCACGTGTGTGTGATGTTAGATTTGTGACTCTACCTAGTCGAGATGCTTACCTTGGTGCAGTTGGAGTTTATACGTAAGTATTTAAATTTTATTGTTAATATTTATATCTGTCTATAAGAGTTTGCTCTTCCGATTTAAAAAAAAAACTAAAAAGACCAAGAAACCATTATTTCTTACATAATACCAGTTTTCTGTTGCAAGTATATATGCGCACGGAAGATGGTTAAAAAAGAATAATTTATCTTACGCGAAAATAATTTATCTTACGAAGAAATATTTTTTGTTTTCATTTTTGTTTCGTCTGTCACTTTGCAAGAGAATATCTCTCTCAAAGATACTCTTTCAAATAATTTTCTTAAATTTAATTTTTGCTCTCTCGCTGATATTTTGTGTACATACTGTACATATCAAGCTCGAAAAATCTAATGAACTTTTTACATCTTTTGTATAACTGTTTCTAAGCAAAACTTTGCAGCAGTTTTATTTCGTGATTTTGTACTACGTCAAGCTTGTTATCTTTTTACTAAATTAGCAACATTTATAGATAAAATTCTAGATAACTTTTATGATTAAAAAAAAAAATAAAAAAATAAATAAATAAAAAAAAAAAAAAACAGATTTTCGACCTTGAAACATAAATATATCTTTAAAAAAAGTAGTATCACTGTAGAATTTCAGATAAACAATGTAATAATAGTAAATAACAGAAGTTAATAAGTAAAAAATAAATATATAAATAAATTTATTAATATAAATATTTCAATAATTTTAAAAAAAGTATTAAAATATTTCTTTTTTTTGCTTATCACACAACATCTTCATTATCTTCCGTATTTGTACATAAAAATTGTTTATAAACTTACAAATACATTTCGTTTTAATGAATCTCCAGGACTCTTCTCTCTTAGTATCTTTATTGTTTATCCTTATGTAAATATGTACAGTGTACACCATAGATACGACCATAATAAATAAGTTCTAGAATTCTTATACAAAAGGAATCTTAAAGCAATAAATATTCACACGTTCTTTTTCCTCTTCTTCACCCAGCAATGTTTAGTTTTCTCGAAAGAAAAATATTTTATGAGATTTATATAACAATAGAATGCAGATCTTGAATATGTTCATGTTAAGCATATTATTAAGTAATTCTTTTTGTTACAAGAAAAAGAAAAACAATTATCAGAATTCGGGTTTGAGTTCAAATTTCTACATTCACAGTAATATATGGATGCAATATTTGCATATGTATATATACATGTGTATCACAGATTCTTTATATAATGATTCGGGAAAGAAAATGTCGGAAAACAGTTTATCATAACTCATAATCGATGTAATGATGACTTAAAACAATATATATATAAAATGTATACATATAAACAATTTACACATATTTATATATATATATATATATGTGTATATTAATATATAAATATATATAAATCATCTATACATAAATATATATTACATATATATTTCAATGTATATTGAATCTTAAGTAATCCAGTAGATACTACTACGTTTATAACACCACGGTCATTTAAAGAGAAAGTACTCTAATTAAGTATCCAATTGCGTATCGTACAAGTATACACCGAGTGTGCACTTAAGATTAACAAATAACAGAAGCTAAACAGATTAACGATATGATCGTATTATCTATTTTTCTTTTTCTCATCCACCTATCCACACAAACATACACACGCACTCTCTCACTCTCTCTAGTTCTTTTATATCATCAGCGTAATTTAAAAAAAATAGCAAAAGATAAGTCTCTTTCAATTTTTACATTACACACTCACACATAAAAAATGATCATGATACCGTGACTTCATCAAATCATTATGAACTGAACGCGGACTGTTGTGAGGAAGTCGACGGCAGGAAAATATTCTGCGTTAAATTGAGCTGCGCAGGTGGTTTACCTGCCGGCTGTCGACCGATAGCAGAGGCAGGCGCGGCGGGATTGTAAGTATTATCCAGACCGTAGTACGATATGAGCGCCGACAGCGCGTTCCGGACACCAGAAGTGGCCACCTGCGACCATCTCCCATGAGAACTGACCGCATCATCGCCAGCGTAAACAGCGTGAGCGTCGAAATTACCCGACACGTGTGACGTACTCGTATCTGAAAGAAAACACAAAGTTACAAATGTTTGCGCGAAAGAGAAGTAAATGCCTGTGATCATCATACCTGAATGAGGTGGATGCAGCACGGGAAGATGAGGATCTAGCTGTCCACCTGGTCGCGCGTTTGCGACAAGACGTAGCTCCGCACGCAAATCGGTCACTAGCTGTACCACTTTGAGGTCGCACTAAAATGTTATAAAAATGTTATAAATGAATATAGAAAGTTTTGTATGTGCTATTACACTTACAAAATAAAATACAATATAAATTCCATAATAGAATATCTTAATACTATATAATATTGTATAATGATAATAGGATATAATAGGATATATCTTTAATATAATATTATAAGCTGTAGAAAGTAAATTTAGAAAGTTATTATGTAATAAAACTTTTCAAAAAGAGTTGAAAATGTGCGATTATACATAAGTATAATTACAGTTTGTTCGTAATTCAAAAATATGTAATTTATATAATTACCGCATTCTGATCTAATTGAAGCGAAAGAAGATCTTCAACGCGAATCGGCTTTCCCTGATGCAAGGCAGTTGTGAGAGCCATCAATCGTTGAACGAGATTATCTTCAGTGTTCACGTCCAATAACTGATTATCTCCTTTTAGATTCGACTTGCCCGGCGAAACTGAACTGTTAAAATAATATGGCGGCGTAGATACCATATACGGTCCACCTTGGTTAAACAAATTATCTTCGCCATAATGAGCTTCCGTGCCGAGCCTGCTTGATTGTGAATTATAGCCCGCTTCCATTTTTAGTCGTTTAGAAGACCTGTAACAAAGTCACAGGCCGAACGTGCAGAGTCAGTAAATGTAAAGAGATATGTTTCCTAACATACACAATGAACGAAGATATTGAATTTACTTGCACATTATCAGAACAACACAATCATTAATTTCTTTGAATGATAATATACACACAATATTCTTAAATAAATGTATATCATGACAAGTTATTTTTACAGATTTTGTCATTTATATATATATATGTATGTTCAGTTATTGATAAAATACCGTTTCCTTACCTATAATAGATTAAATGTACGTTAATATGACGACAGATTAACATGCGAATAGCACAAGCTATAATAAATATATATTTTAAAATAAGCTAGTCCACTATGTATTAGAATTACAGATATATGCATGCACTAAGCAATATAATAATGTAAAAAGCATAACATTTTAGTTTTTATCATTTATTTATGTAACAATCGATCATACTGCAGTAAAGAATTGGTAGAATATTCTTCATTATTTTTTATGCATCGCGCTTTACATACATCCCATATCATATAAAACATTATTACCAAAAAAGTAACCTGATTATTATAATTCTGTTAGCTAAGCTTTAAAGCATATGAGGAAATAGTTAAATTATGTATTTGATAAAGACAACGAATAAAAAATTTTAGATACTCTGAGCGCGTATCAACACGTATTAAGATTTGGAACTTCGATTACCTATTATATATTCTTACAAGTGCTACAAAATTCTCGGCGTATCATTCAGCCTCACATTATTATCTCCTGAAACATAATTTTCTCCTATTAGATGTTTACATGCTATAATTAGCTTGTATGTATCTATAAATAATTTTGGTCTCAAGTCGGAGTATGTTACTTTCTCTACATATTCGACAACATGTACATAAATATATATATATATATATATATATCTTAATATATACACATATACAATTCTTTATGTTAAGATATATTTTTTTTCTTCTGTTAGGATATATAAATTTTTTTCTTCTGTTACTTTTACATCTTTATATTTTATAAAACTACGTAACGCAAAATAAACACAATTTTGATATTTAAAAATAGTACAATATATACAAACTGTTTAATCAAGTGTGTACATATTACAAAACTAAAAAGAAAATGGAAACAAAGAGGGAGGGAAAACGAAAAAGAGAGAGAAAATTCTTGAAAATCTTAATCGAAGTTAAACATCATATTCCGGTCAATTTTCTTTTAACGCAAACACATATTGTACTTATTTCAATAATACACTAGATTAATCACAGAACAAAATATATATATTTACAAAATATTTCATATAGTAGATTCTACATCAATAATACAAAAACCATCTTATATTTATAATCTGTTGATATACTAAAGACATTTGTAAATACATAGCAAATTGAGATTTTATTGCTCCACAAATGAAGGTTTCTCAAATCATTAACAAATACACATACTTTTCCTGTGATTTTTGATAAATAGAAGCAAGTTTACATTATGTTTAATATATATTGTCGAGTAAATAAATATACGAGGTATCAAAACTACGTTCATCTTTTGATACACATTTATACACAAAAATACATGTATATTTATCATATCTCGCTCTATTTCTCTCTCTTTTTTATCCAGTTTTTCTTTATCTCAATTTTATCGTATGTCACGAGTAAAACAAACATTTTGTCAATACACTTCTATGCTGTAATATATTATTATAAATAAATTTTTTATATTTACATTTTTGTTACTACATTTTACCTATATATACAACAGTTAGTATAAGTCATTTTCTTTTTAGTATTGTATTGTAATTTTATTATATATTTTAAGAAAAAAGATATATCAATCTTTATGCTTTCATAACCTTACTACTTATTATTTCTAGAAATAATAAATAGTATAGACAAAAAACGAAAAATGTATAAAAATACTTGTGAAGGATAAGTAGAAACAGTAACATATGTATATTTTTTTACTTTACATGCATATATAAATCAGAAAATAAACGCTGACAAAGATTTATTAATATAATTACCGATTATTTTATATGTATGTGTATATATGTATATATATATATATATAAATTTTGTTTACATATATATATATGTATATAAAATAAAATGTATAATTCTTTGGAGCGATATTCTTATTTAGTTTGAGTAAAATTAGACAGTGGAAACTAAAATGTGTTCAATAATAAAATGATTTTATAGCACTGAAAATTTATTATAACAGATATGTAAGCGAATACCGTTCAAGTGTATTGTACCTCGTATGTACGTTTTGTATATATACGACGTATAATACAGCATAAAAAATTATTTTCGCTCATAATAATCACATTAGACGCGCCGCGCGTGATATAACACATACATGCAAAAAAAGAAGAAAAAATGTGAATGAAATACATCGTTAACTACGTATAATACAAATTATTAAGTTGCAATATAATTAAGAAATAATTAAAGTACAAGATAACAAATGTAAATGCTCGATTAAACTGAAGACTAAATAAAAATTAATTAGTAACTGATCTAAAAGAAATTTTATCTTTACAGCATATTCACACGTTTTACTTTATCTATATTTTTTTTTTTTTTTCAGAAATATTTTTTTATGTATATTCTACCTATCTATTTACATGACAGAAACATTTTACATTTCAATAATTATTTTCTGTATACATTTTTCTTGTCTATTTATATAGACATTTTCTTGTAAAAAATAGTGAGCAGTCATCGTTTGCTAACGTGACTTCTACATTTATTTATAATAAAATCGCTGTTTTAATTGTATTTCGCTTATGATTTACAACAGCGGTATAAATACAAATATTTATATTGATTTTGTAGAATCGTACATCTACAAAATAATAATGTTAAATTTTCTTTTATATTTATATGCACCGCGCACAATTGAAACATTCTACTAGATATTCTTGTCTTCGATATTAATATGTGCGCGCGTTCATCATATAATGCTTATTGCATTATGTAAATGTAAATATATTATACATGTACGTTTTTCTGTTTCATGACAAACAGTGACGGATATGTGTACAATATGTTCTTAGTTTATTTTAATAAACTGACGTACTGAAGTTTTACAATCGCTCTTAAACCTAAATAGATGACCAAAAAGAGAATATCTTCTTTTGCCGTTTGATGGTGCGCTACAAAGCACACATGACGATCATCAGATTCGCGTGAAGAACTAACATGATGTAGTCAGAACAATCATTTTGCTGTAATTATTTGTAAATATTTCGAGTGTGGATAATGGAGAGGAAATGGACAAACAATTAACCCTTTAGCTATAAGAATTGTACACGTCTATAGTTGAAATTGTGAAACGTCTGTATCAAAAGTAAATTTTGAATCAATTGACTCTGCTGATCAATTGAGGCTTCTTGATGTTAAATATGTCATTATGTACATCTTTTTATAATGATTATTATAGAACAGTGAAGTGTAACTGTATTTCATCTTTTCACGTCACTCTCTTCAAGCGTCTTAATAAAACAGTTGTATATTACAGCTAGAGAGTTAAGTGATATATTGTCGTATCGCTTATATATTAACAATTTCTGCAGAGTGAAACCAACGATGTTTCGTGCTTCTATTTTCCGCTGTACTGCGTCGTCGTCGTGTTCGAACGACTGTGAACGAAACTAAAATTAACTGTTGTTTCATTAGGTTAAAAGGAAAGAAAGACGACATGCAAACGAGAATCATCAGAAAGAACATACAAAAGTACTACTACAATTTTGATATATCGCTTCTTGCTCTCAAGAAAAAATCATTACACTAACAATGCATCTAACTAAAGAAAATTAAATGCCAAGCACATTTGCCGCACACAACTGCCATCTACTTCTGTGAGCAAATTAGTCCCTGACTGGTAATGGAATATATGTTTTAGCAAATTGTAAATTATAAATTTCTTTACAAAAAATCTACTCACCCTCCAAGAAGAGGCAATCTTACTGCAGCGGTGTCTTGCTGTTCCCTTAATAGTTTTTTCCGTTTTTTACTCCAGAGTTCATGACAATCTTGCCACGTCGGAAGCTGCGGCGCCGGCATCCTATTTTTTTGTTTATTATAAAAAAAAACATAATGTTTATAAAAATAAATTTAATAGAGAAAGACGCAAGCAACGTACTGTTCAGGTTGGACATTTTTCAGCCAAGTACTCTGAAGTGCATCTTCTGCTGTTATCCGTTTCTCGGGATCTAGTTCTAACATTTTATCCAGAAGATCCAAAGCCGCTCCTGGCATAAACGCGAACTCTTCCCTCAAACGTCTTCTGTACTGCTTTTTGGGTTTAAGTGTATGCCAATGCGGTAATTTTATCACATTAGGCCAGACAGCAGGAGTAGGTGTCCCGCAAATCCTCGAAATTGCCTCCAGCTGCAATATATCTACATTGGCCTGATAAAAAATTATTATTAATAATAAATTGTATATGACACATAAACAAATTGTATTTTATTATTGTAATATGACACATAAATATAACAAATGTAATATAACACATAAATAAATGATATTTTACACATTCTTTTGATGTTTGATCGATTGAATTTATACGATACCTTTACCTGGAACAAAGGTTTCTTCCAAAACAACTCTCCCAAGATACAGCCACAACTCCACACGTCAATCGCAGGCCCATAACGCTCTTCACCTAGCAAAAGTTCAGGCGGTCTGTACCACAAAGTAATTACTTTATTGGTATACGGTCTCTGTCTGTCTTCCGCGTTGTAAAGTCGTGCCAGTCCAAAATCAGCCAGTTTAACTTCACCTCTGCAAAAATCGCAGTTGCACCAAGTAATTATAAAAAATATAAAAGTATTATTTGTCAGGATATTGGATAACGTACTTGTTGTTCATCAATATATTTGAACACTTGATGTCCCGATGTAAGAAATTTTTGCTGTGACAATAATTCAAACCGTTCAACAACTGTTTCATGATACTGGCATTATTCATTTCATTGAAATCCACCATTCCGGACTCCAATAGGCCCATCAAGTCGTGATCCATATATTCGAAGACCAAATAAAAGGAACCTTTATCCTATAAAACACGAGATTATTCAACTTGTTTGTTTTGCAAAAATTACAGATTATTAGACACATATTTGATATTCTGTTTAAATAACATTTATCGATATTTGAAGTCATTAAAAAAATTCTCTATTTGCAATATGTGATTAAATTAGAAACACATTAATTCCAGACAAAACTGTACAGTCAAGAATAGAATCTTACCAACTTGTTACTACATGATTATTCTACAAAGTATGATTTCTTTTTTTTTCCTTCAAGAAAAACCAATACCGACAAATGTATTGTATGCAATACGAAATACAGTACTTCCTTGGCAAAACGTAAAGTTTTTAACGTTATTTTAGGTGGAAATACTGCAGTATATTGTAAATAAATCAAAAACAACCTTCCGGAAATCCAGTGCATCCTGTTTGTCGGTGACGATTTCTCGAAGATTAACGATGTTTTTATGATTAAGCTGCCGCAAGATCTTTATTTCCCTGACTGCTGTGATAGGAAAGCCCTCTTTCTCGTTTTCAAGACGAACTTTCTTCAATGCCACCAATACGTTTGCCCGTTTATCCCGAGCTTTATATACCTGTCCGTAAGTACCTTCACCGATCTGCGTTATAAATTCGAACACATCGACACATCGTTCGCCCCAGTCTTTGCCACCGGAAGCTGACATAGGAGTGCGACTTCGCGATCCTCTGCGCTTTAGTATTTTTGGTCTCTTTAATTTGGGTTTCGGCGGTACCCGTTCGACCTTCGAACGTGGTGGTGTCGCGTTCGAATCGTCTTCGCCACTTAAATCTTCTGATCCAGGTACGACTACAAATCAAATAAACAATAAGATTAGATTAGCATTATAATATTTGAATAAATGAAATTTAAAGATAAAACCAACCTGGTGGCATTGGCAGATCTTTGATACTCTTCTTTTGCGGCGGTTTTGCCGTCGATGCCGGAAGTTTTAAGTTTTTGCTGGGAGGACTCGGAGACCTACTTGGAGGAGAATCAATGCTTTCCAAGTCATTCTGATTAATGCCGGGTGGCAATGGTAATTTCTTGAGACTCTTGGTTGTGAAAGTTACTATAGGAGGTTTGGGAGGATCTATCGATTTGAGCGGCACGAGATTGTTGGGTGGATTGAACTTGGACATGATTGTGTTTGGTGCTGGGACAGGAATTGGTGGAGGTAGGGATGGAGGTAGAGTTGGTATATTAGGTAAAATTGGTGTAGATAGCATCGGTGGAGGTGCCGACATGGGTACAGATGCAGTCACTTGCGGCAAAATCGTTGGCGCAATAGGAACAGTGGGCTCGGCAGTTTGCGGTAAAGGTGGTAGCGGCGGCGGCGGCGGCGGCGGTGGTATGTTGGGAGCAGAAGTCGGGAAATTGGGACTGTGCGTCATAGCAATCGGATAATTATTGGGTAATATCGATGGTGGATTGGGCGAAGAAATATTTGTGTGATGAATCGAAATATTTGTTGTTGCGGATGGCGGATTTATTGGCGCAGGTGGCGGTGCAACGACCGGTTGATTGGATGGTGGCAATGGCGGCGTTTTACCCGCCAGAGAGTCATCGCTCGTTGGAACAGGAATGTCGATAACGTCGACAGTTTTCGTAGCGTTCTCGCCAATTTTTAAAGGTTGTTCTTTGTTATTTACAATTTTGTCCTTATTGTCAGTGGAAGCTTTACTTTCGGAGGACATATTAGTACCGCCGTCTTTCTCGTCGGTACCTTCGATGATTTGCACATCATCCTGATTTACGGCCTTCTCCTTCGCAGCTTGCAATTTTCTAAAAGCCAACTCTCTCATGTTTCGATCCTTTACAAGTTCCGCAAATAGACTAGTCTCGCTAATCTTAGCTTGGACGCGAAGATTTCGAGCACTGATAGACGATGGACTTCTAGCTCGAGATCTGTGAGGCGAAGGAGAAGGTATTCTCGGTCGTGGACTCTTCGATTTGTGTTTTCTCAACGACTTATGAGATTTGCTTGGTGAACGTGACTTTTTCGGAGTACGACTTCTTCTGCGCGAACGTGATCTTGAGCGAGACATCTTTCGCCATCTAGGACTACGTGATCTGGATCGAGAGAGAGGCAGATGTAATCTAAAATGACAAGAATTCCATTAAACGTATTATGACAAATGTTATTATATATACAGTAGTGCCTCGCTAACTTTCCGCTCCTCGGTTCCGCAAACGGAAAGAAGTTAAAGAAGGTATATGTTCCGAGAATTGCTGTTATCTTTGATTAACTTGATTACAAGCTCGACCGCTGCAGTCATCCCCACCAATTCGCGCGAAGTCTCAGCGAAGCACTTCTAGTAATTGATCGAAGTGACTCCCGGCACGACCGAGGAAGAAATTCGGCACGTTAGCGAGGATATACTGTACATTACGTTTTGATTTGTTTTACCAGGAGATAAGTATGTACCTGCTGTCTGCATATATATACCTGCTGCTGGTGGGACTTCTAGTTGATCTCGACTTTCGTTTGTCTTTCCTCTCCTTATCATGATGTCGATGACGTCGATCAAGCTCGTCTCGTCTCCTGCGTTTAGGAGAACTGACTCCGCCGTCCGTTCGACGTCTATGGCTCATAGGACTTGGACTGAAATCTCGTCGTCTGACCGTGGCCGGGCTTGGACTGTGCCTAGATCTGTGAAGAATTGAAGTAGGACTAAATTCTCTTCTTCGCGGCGGACTGTGATCTCTTCGTCTCGGTGGACTCGGACTGTGCGGTCTTCTACGGCTTGAACCAACGGGGCTAATGCTATTACGTCGCGTTGATTGAAAACTGGGACTACGTTTCAGTAGCCGATCGGGGCTACTGTGCTTCGGTGTAGCGACAACAACTTTAGTTTCCGGCGTTGTCGAACGTGGCGGCAGCAGTGGCGTGTGTGGCGATACAGTCTGCCGTGTCGGTGGCCGAGCGGGTGATATAATGTTCTGAGATGTTTGTCTTGACATCTCCAATTCTGCTTCTTCACTGAAACACCTTTGCTCCTGCGGCGTAGCCGGTGAGATCGGCGACGTGCTGTCTTTCAGTAACATTGGTGGCGATTCCGACCATTTTGCAGCAGCAGCAGTAGCAACAGCAGCGTTTGCCGATTGTTTTTCGCGATCGAGAGTTAGAGTAGTCTGTTCCGACTCTTCAGTAATGATACGGTGCGGAGACACGCTATACGAGTGTCTTCTGGATTTTCTTTTCTTTTTTTTTCCTGAACTCGACGATGGACTCAGGCTTTTTTTCTTTTTCTTCTCACGTTTATGTTTTTTCTCCTTCCGTCGAGCATACCGTCTTGCTTCCTCTTCGTATTCCGGTGTTGCGCCGTGCATTGATGGCTCTTGTTCTTTTGGCGAAGAATAATGTCTATCTATATGATGGCGTTGGTCGAGCGGTGGTGAAGGAGACATACTGATGGGAGATGCTCCAAGAGCTCGTACCGGACTACCGCCATAATACTGTCTTTGATGATGCAGATCAGTTACTTCCCCATCTGTGTAACTATTTGCACGACTTCCTTCTGATTGTATTTCTCCTGCTTCTGGTTCAGAAAGATCTTCACTACTTACATCAGAATATTCAACCAATGGTTTTACAATAGACGAAGCTATAGATGGTATATTCTCCAGAGGCTTATGTTGTGGTGTATAATGTTTTTTCTTTTTTTTGCTGGAACTCTTGCTCTTGCCATGTCGCCTGTGCCGTTTGTCGACACCATCAAAATTATGGCGATTCAAGTCACTACTTGTGCTGTCTTTTCGTCGTAAGCGAAATCGTCCATTACGTTCAGCTCGCTCAACGTCACGAGTGCTGGGCATGTCACCTACTACAAGTAAAAACAAATTGTCAATATCGGAGACACCATTTTCGATGCAGTAATATTTGGTACAATAATGAAAAACATATTTTAGTATTTACTAATAAAACAAAAAATTGTAATTACTAAAATATAAAATATAAATAATATGCTTAAAATATAAAATTATAAATACATGGTAGCTTAAAATATAAAAAAAAAAAAAAAAAAAATGTACAAATTATAAAACGGATAATAAAACTTGCGTACGGGTATATTCCTCTTAAATATCATTCTTCGCAGAAAAGACAGATACCGTTAACAATTTTAAAAAATATGTATTTTCTTTATTGATCAATTAGGTTCTACATGTACAATAATATTCCGCTTCGAGGCACTCAACAGAGATAGTTTCACACTGCCGATTCTGGATCCGCTTAGAGGACATTTACGAAACATATTAGCAGGAACCTACCATGCGTGTTCCTTTCGATTTGTGCCTGATATCGACAGAAATACGACAATCAGAAATAACGCTACTGGTTTCATGACGTGCCATGACACCGTCTCGATCGTCATGAATATATAACACTCACACACTTAACACACTATCGTGTACATACACACAAATATACAGACACATGTGCGCTCGTTAGCACGTACACATCAGCGATAACGCGAAATGTCGTCGATTACCTTGCGAGCGAGGGCTTACGCTATCTCGTCGTGTCGTATCCAAGAAGATACGGAGCGGAGTCGACTTGGCGAAGAACCGACGGCCGCAAGAAAGGAAGATGCGCTCGACTTTGTGCCCATGCGGCAACGAGATTCTCGACCGAGCCAACGCGGCCGCCATTACGCATACGCGCGAACGGACTCGCCCAGTTTATTCCCTCCGAGAGGGAAAAATTTAGGTTTTCGCGATCGCGCACGACGAATTGGCTCGTAAAAATCGCGCGGGAATAGAAAATTAATCGTACTCACATGTGATGTATGTCCCGCGGCGTCGTGGAGAGTCTCGGTGTTTCTCGCATCAGGACAATCAGGACCACAGTATATACAGTAGCGCAACTCCACAGTATAGGTTTGGTGCATATATGGCTCAAAGGACTGAACTAAGCTAGTCCATACGCCATTTTAAGATTTAACCAATGCCCCATCATTTTCGCGTGATGTAACCTGCGCGCAGTGCTGCCGTGCCACGACGGCGCCGCGATATATGCCGAAGAGAGAAATCAAAATCCACCAACTGCCTCGGTTTTAAAGTCTCGTCTTCAACAGTCGCCAGTCGGTAGTCGCGAAATTCACCAATCGCATTTGTCAATTTTGCTCGATCAAACTCGTCGATTGGCTATCGAATAGAAACTTTCAAGCGGTTGAATACAGTGTGAAATATCGCGATTGGTTGGCAAATTGGCTTACGTTGGCGACACAAAGCTCTTCCGTGTTTGGTTGATTTGCTCGTGGATTTTTTTGCTTGCGATTGTAAGATAAAAAAATTTTATGTATCACGTGCATAATTTCTTTTTTTGCCGTAAGAAGAAAGGAACAATAATCGGCAACAACCGCAGTTTGTGCGAAGAAAAAGACGCGGAAATACGGAAAGAGTCATAAAGCAATTCACGCACGATCGTCGTCGCAGTTACTGAGATCGCAAGAGGGTCTGGAAAATGGGTGAACGTTACAATATTCACAGCCAGTTGGAGCATCTGCAATCGAAATACATCGGCACGGGACACGCGGACACGACCAAGTTCGAGTGGCTGGTGAATCAGCATCGTGATTCCTGCAGTTCTTACATGGGACATTACGATTTAATGAACTTCTTCGCGATTGCCGAGAACGAGGCGAAGGCACGAGTCAGATTCAATCTTATGGAGAAGATGCTGCAACCTTGCGGACCACCTCCTGAGAAACCAGAAGATTAAATTGCGTGTTTTTTTTTTACTTTGCGGACTATTTTTCATTTTTAGTAGATTTAAGAGTGAAATAAACAATTTGTATGCACACATTTAATAAATGTAAAGACTGTGTATAATCTTATATTATACTTATAAAAACTATATATATAAAGTTTAAAACATAAGATTATAAAAGAGCTAGTGATAGGAAGATTTTTTTTATGTACTAAGAAAAATTATAAAAAAATATCAAGATGCCTGTTTCATGCTCTACGCAATGTGGAGAAAATGCCATTTTAAAGGTAAATGTTATTCTTAATAATTTTACAATATAACTGGCTTTATTTATACAATATTAAAACATAGGTGAAAAAAGAACAATAGATGATATGAATTTTTAGAGACCCAAAACTGGTGATGCCTTATGCAAGAAGTGTTTCTTCTCAGCATTTGAAACTGAGATTCACGATACTATTGTTAATGGAAAACTATTCAAGCCTGGTGACAAAGTTGCTATTGGAGCATCAGGTGGCAAGGACTCAACTGTACTTGCTTATGTTTTAAAAACACTGAATGAAAGATACAAATATGATCTAGATCTTTTTCTTCTATCCATTGATGAGGGAATTACTGGTATGGATAAAGTTCAATTTTAAATAGCACATACAGGAAAAAATATAATTTACATTTATACAAGTACTTGTTATACTTAGTTTACACTTGCATTTTAGGATATAGAGATGATAGCTTGAAAACTGTGGAACAGAATAGAGATGATTATGGTATTCCTCTTAAAGTTCTGTCATATAAAGATCTATATGGATGGACAATGGACTCTATAGTTGAAGAGGTAAAATAGTTTACTTAAAGATTTTTTCTTTGAAATCAGCATGTATGCACTTTTTTTTAACAGGATATGTAAATTTTATATTTTAGATTGGTCATAAAAATAATTGCACGTTTTGCGGTGTTTTTCGAAGACAAGCATTGGACAGGGGTGCTGCAATATTAAAGGTAGATTGTATTGCGACAGGTCACAATGCAGACGATATTGCCGAAACGGTTTTGATGAATATCTTGAGAGGCGATATTGCCCGATTACAAAGATGTACATCCATAATTACTGTAAGAATATAAATGTATTTTTTTTAAAAAAAGACTAAACAAGAAAAATGCGTAAATAATTTGCATAATTTAACTTTTGTACATAGACAGGTGCAGATTCTATTATGCGTTGTAAACCACTGAAATATGCTTATGAAAAAGAGATTGTCATGTATGCGTATCACAAACAGCTAGTATACTTCTCCACAGAATGTAAATATGCTCCAGATGCTTACAGAGGTCATGCACGAGCTTTTCTAAAGGATTTAGAAAAAATAAGACCTTCATCTATCATAGATGTGATACATTCAGGTAAAAATAATTTTTAATAGAATTGAAAACTCATTTTGATATAAATTAAATAAATATTAATATATTATTTTCTCTCTATATATTAGGTGAACAGTTACAAGTAAAAGACACGGTAAAATTACCTGAGAGAAGAAATTGTACTCAGTGTGGATTTGTTTCAAGTCAAGAAATATGCAAAGCATGCGTTTTGTTAGAGGGTTTGAACAGAGGACTACCAAAACTTGGTATTGGCAAATCTAGCAAGGCTAGAAAGATCATGAATATGGATTCAAATATAGATAAAAGAAGTAAACAGAAAAGTATAGATTTTTGAAATGTCTTTTATATATGTATGTACATCTTTTAAATATTTCTCTGTACACAACGAGAAAAATACACACACACACGCACACAAAGTTTTTTCTTATTAAAGAATATACGTCTGTAAAACTATTTTTTATATATTACTTAAAAAAAAAAAATATTTATTATTACATTTCAGAATTTAATCAAACCAAAAGTTAAACATCTGGACTAATGTTAACAAGAAATAATTTATATATTTTGGCTATGTGTATTAAAATAATAAGATTCTTAAATATTAAATCAGAAAAATCACAAAAGTATAATTTAAAAATATTTTTTAAATTTATAATTGTATATTTAATATTTGTAAATATAATTACAATGTGAAGGAAATATTACGAAATATTTTTTTCAGAATCAAACAGAATATTATCTTAATTTAATCTTCATTGTTTTCACGTTCCATTTTTTTTAACATAAAAATAGCATCTTTATCAAAGTTTTATCAACATAAAATTCACACTATGTACGCCGCCGCCTTTTGAGTGATGTGTGTTCTGCAGACAGGACAGGTATTGTTGATGCTAACGGAACAATCCTCACATATACACACATGGCCACAAGGCAAAAGAATAATTTCACGTGCATTTTCCTTGCAAACTACACATATTTGATCCTCTCGGAGATCTCTATCCCTGACTCTCTGACGTCTTTCTTGTCGAGAAGCTTCGAGCGACTTGCGCAACTCTTCCGCCAGTCTTTGTTCCCGTTTATTCTTCCAATAACGTCTTGTTATGATACCTCCGAGTATCAATCCAAGTAGGCCACTTATTATACAAAATATCCTGTTCAGAGAAGATAAATGTTTTAATTTGCAATTGTACAAATGTCTCGTAATCGTTCAACAGAGAAAAGGTACTGATTCTACATGTAAATATAAGTCGCAGAATAAAAGATTTTTATATACATCTTTGTTTTCAAGAAAAATGAGTTCGCAAGTTGAAAAATTAAATAAAAATATTTAGCTATATGTACAAAGTCTCATACATACAAATTTTATTTCATAATTTGGACTTATTTTTTTCACAAGAAATCATCCTTTTTTCAAATGTATAACAATTGTTGGGACTCTGTATGTGTAATAAATACTACAATAATTTTCTAATAACTGAGATTTGTCTGTACATGCCTGTACATCTTCTTGCGATCATCTAATGTCCGTATCAAGGCAGTAATCGACATGCTTGTTATATAAAAAGGAGATCCGTTTAATGGTGATTGCAAAGTGAGATTACCAGATTTAGTTCCTGGCTTAGTGAGCTCACCTATTGCAGTGACAATCGAATCCGCACGCAACATTTTTTCTGTGGACTGTATTCCACGTTGTCGAACTCCTGATTATTTATATCACACAAACATAATGCACACATATGAATAATTCAATAATATAATTGTAGAATGTCTTTTTTAATCGCAGTTACCTATGAAAAATCCCCATATGTGGTCTACAAATGATGGTACACTAGGTTCAAAACGATCAGAAATTACATCCAAATCTAAAATGTCAGCAGACAACGGATCCAGTATTTCCACAGAATGCCATCCCTTTTGCAAAACAAAGGGTACCACATTGTACACCTTCTGAATAGTTCTTTCTTGATTAGACCTACAAATAAATTAGTTAAATGAAAGAAATATTATTACTACATTTAGATATATTTTCTACTATTATCTAGATAAAATTAAAGTATTGTGCCAATTGTGCCAAAATTAGAATAGTTTATGAAATAGCACAAGATAATTCAATCTTACCAATATCCAGCTGATGTTCTAGCTACAAGATGTTCCCTGACACTAAGCTTCTGTATAACACCAGTCACATCTTTCTTATTAATGCTCTGCAAAGATTCTCCGAGTGGCTTTACATTTCCTCTGATAGCTATATAATCTATTTTCCCATTTGGAGTTTTATCTACCAGATCTTTCAGACTTGGACTAACATCGTGTAATTCAACGTTCTATACAAAAAAACATAAGCAACACTTTTGTTCCTCAAGAGCTCTATTTTATTTTATTTTATTTTTTTTTTTTTTGTGTTCAATCTTTGTCGGCAATAAATTGATATATATCATACCTTAACCGCCTGAACAGCACTTTTGTAAGAAATGTACTGTTTCAAACAAATACCAAATACAGCAGCGTCAATTCCGAGAGCGAATATCTCGCCTAAATACTCCATACTTCGATCACGCGTTATCATCCATCCTCATGCGTTTGAATATTTGACCCGAAATGTTTTTCGAATTTCGAAGATCATCAGGAAAAGTCAGAAATTATAATGTGAATCATGTTAAATCAGCACGTATGATTACGCATGATATAATAATTTTTTGGTACCATTTTGCTGCCCTCTCTGATATTTACAACACCTGACTGTTACCAACAATTGATAAGTATTTAGTTTCTTTTTGTACGTGCAACAACGCCCTCTAGCATGCGTGTGCATGTGTGTGTGCGTGTATAATACAAAAACATACGTCAATGTTGATAACCGTGTTCGAAGAAACCGCAAATCAGTTACGAATGACATATGTATATCAGTGATACGAAGTACATGCTCGAGTGATTCGACGTATTTGACATACTTAGCAAATTTTAGACGTGCATGTAAATTAGTGATTTACAGAGATAAATTTTTAGATATTGCACATTATGGACACAGACAGACCGTTGCATGAGGATTGGAAAAAACGAGTACGTATATACATGCTCTCTATTACTTGTCAAACACAATTAATCAGAAGCACTACAGATGTTCTAAAATTCAACATAAATTAAACGTGTTTAAACTCAACAAGATGTAAAGATGATTAAAAATAATACGGAGATATTGATATTTTTATGTCAATGTTTATAATATTTATAATGTAATAACATCATTTTTCAATCTTTTATTGTAATAATTTGTATAATATCCAGGCTTTTGTGGGACCATTGCCAGATAGTTTTTTGAGAATAAATGAGCAAAATGCTCAACTTCAACAGGAAGCAGCAGATCAGCAAACTGCTCTAGCTCTTCAGCAACAGATGCAAAATATGCCAGTAACTGTTGATCCACGATGGGGTAGACTTAACATAACAATTTCTCAGGTAATCTCTTCTCTTTTTTCTACCGTGACAAACATCCAACACCAATTAGTTTAATAAATAAAACAAAATTATTAAAAGAGACTGTTTTTTTTCAGGCCAAATTAGTAAAAAATTATGGAATGACAAGGATGGATCCTTACGTGAGGTTACGAGTAGGACACTCAGTCTATGAAACTCATACAGATTCAAATGGTGGAAAAAATCCACATTGGAATAAAGTAATTCAGTGGTGAGAATATATTTTGTTTCAATAGTTCTAGTGTTTTTTATATTTGTGTGTGTAGTACAAAAATCTTGCAATATTTATCATTGCAGTGTCCTTCCACCTGGTGTTACTCAAATTTATATAGAAATTTATGATGAGTGTTCTTTTGTGATGGACGAATTAATTGCTTGGGGCCACATAAACATTCCTCCACAGGTTATTCAAAAGGGAGAGACTCATGAGGATTGGTATATGCTCAGTGGAAAACAAGGAGAAAATCAGGAAGGCATGATCAATTTAGTTTTTAGTTACTCGGTACGAATATACATATATTTATATTTATTATTTTTTAATATATGTTTGTTTATTTATATAATACAACAGATTATAGAACTTAAGAGCAACTAATTGAATTCAAGTTTTGCGACACCGTCTCTTTTGATATCGAAATACTTTACTGTTAATATAAAGAATTACATCTTTCTAAACATTTATATTTAAACATTTCATTTTTTGATTGATTCTTATTAGAATAAGTGTTATCCATATATGGGTTCCTCTTCTATAATGATGGTTCCTTCTGCAACAATGTTTGGTATGCCATATGCTCCAGTAAACGTTTACACAACACCTTCAGTTATGGCTGCACCAAATGTCGTACCAAGCACTCTGCCAAATGCCGAAGTTGAATTGCAACAGGTATTTGACATGTATATCTACAATTTTTTCTAATTTTTGTTATTATATGTGAATGTTAATAATAATAATTTGTTTGTTTCGCAGATCGCAGAAATGTTTCCCAACATTGATAAGGAAGTTATAAAATCAGTATATGACGCTAATCAAGGAAAGAAAGATGTTACGATTAATTCGTTGCTTCAGATGTGTGAATAAGTTTCTATTATGCTTATGTAACTTTACACATATCTTCTAGCACTAAAAAATTTAAATGTAACAAGATCTAATATTTGTACTACTTCCATACGTAATAATTAATGCTAAGTATTTTAAAGACTTATTTCAGTATACAAATTGACAAAATACATAATACATATGTATCTTGTCTTTTTCTTTAGAACAAGTAAAAATATTTGTTTTAAAAAACAAATATTGCTTTTTAAAGGTACAATTTCATGTGCCGCTGAAACTAAGTGTTTAAGCGACAAGAAGAGTCACGTGATGACTTTGATTTGTTGCTCGTATTCCAGCGGTTACAATTTTGTAGTTGGAACCAGTTCAACTACAAAGCATTGTTTCTTAAAAGCTGTGATGCACTGAGCTGCATTTGGAAACACTACTCGTGCGCGCTTTATCTTTATCGCTTATTGTAATAAATGTAAAACAAAGATAAAATGTGCACACGAATGGTGTTTCCAAACACAGTCTTGACAGTGTATACCAAAGATATAAACATAACTTTGCAGAACTCCCGTTTTAAAAAAAATACAAAAATGAACTAATTTAATTCAAGACAAATGAAGATGAAGAAGTAAAAATATATATAAATAATCGTCAACAAAAACGCAAACAACGCAAAATCTATCTCTTAATTTTGTCACTTCTAATCTTTTTTATGTAGAAAAGTTGACGTTGAATAGTTCAGCGAGAAAAATCATCACGTGACTTTTTTTGTCGCTTGAACGATCAGTTTTAGCGGCACGTGAAAATGCACCTTAATAGTTTTGAATTCTTAGTCAAAGTTTTTGTTATATTGTTATTTCAGAGTTATTACAGTTATTTGTTATTTCAGAGTTTATATGACTTCTCCTTTATTTTAAATACGTAGAATTTATTTTTACTTTTACTTATAAGATTACGACTACTACATAGATGTATGTATCTCTGTGTATATAATTTATATTGCATGTTTTATAAAAGTGTAAAAAGATACGCTTACATAAAAATTAATATTAAATATATACAATTTATACTAATTTTATCTACATTAGAGAATTAAAAAAGCAGAAAAAAATGTTAGAAAGTATTATAAATTGTATACATGAATAGTGAAATAGATGTAGCTATAAAGATGATTAACATGGAATATGTATTTCTTATTGTTGAATTGCAAGGCATGCTGCCGTCTCTAGATCTGCATGCGCATACTTCAATAGTGTATCCCTCGGTCTAAAAATTATTTTATTACATTATTATAATTATATTCGTAAATATTTTATTACATCATAATATTATATTCGTTATTGTCGAATAAAAAGTGATAATATTAGCGTTAAAAAATAGTTGCAAACTTTACAATACGTACATACTGAACAAAGCAACCTGCTGTAATGGCTGTTGTTTGGTCCTCTATGACTTTTCCACAGAAATAACTGACATTCACAACTGTAGATAAAAAGTTTATTTACATTTGCATACACTATACGCCCTACTATCCATGCTTGAAATAACTTATGCTACTTTTCTTGTATTTACCTGCACTATTATATATGTACGTATATTTCACGCAAACGTTACTTTTTTCCATATGACAAAAAAACTCGTTCACATCAGTGACATTTATTGGTTTATTATTTTGTTTACTTTCCCATACGTAATTTGTACTTGGCATCTGAATACCTGAAAAATATTGTAAAGAAGAACAGTTTCAACAGCTATAAATGTAACTGCGGAATTACTCACTCTCATAAATTGGGTCTATGCAAGGGACGTATGGGCGTGTTTCTGCATAATCTGTGCAGTTTACATCTTTTGCAGTTAGCCTTGGACCTGGCCATGTATATCTAAAGCACTCTTGGTCTCCCATTACTACACATAAAGAATAGATTCTGATGATTTAAAACAAGAATTATTCGTGTAAAATAGATGTGTATTAAATCTAACGCATTTAATATAAACAACTAAATAGAAATTTTAACAAAGAAACAGTAGTTTTTTTTGTATTATTGTTTTATATTAGCATATGTACATTAGTAGGTAATTTTTATCCACATCCATGTGTAACTTGATAAAATTATATAAAAACTATCTCATATACAATATTTTATTTCTATATGTATTTTTGTATTTACATGTGCAAAAATATAGTATTTATAAAATACAGATGTCGTCTGATATTTCATATATAGCAAATATTTATGTTTAATGGCTATGGTCTTTGATTCTAATTCGATATAAAACTTTTAAAAGAGTATATATGTATCGCTCTTTTTAATTTTTGACAGCCCAACTCAAAAGTATCACGCATTGTTACCGACGTATCTGTTCTCAGAGTATATTTGCGAAATATTTGCTTCGCGCGCGAATAATATCTGAGATACGTTAAAAAAATAAATAAATATATTTACCTAACAGCACATTAAAAATTGTTATATGTCCAATCAAATATATCTTCTTCATTTTTATGTATTTTGGCGACGTAACTTGTGCAATATTTTGCGCATTACTCTAGTTGCTACGAGAATGACAAGCTCTTATCTGATAACTTCGATCGACGGTCTCATACAATGATATTATATTCTTGATATCACACCGGACAATCACGTCATATACACTGATTTACGCTGATAAAGGAATTGATATTGCTCAGATATTCAAAGAAAACAATAGTATATGACAATATTAAAAACTTTATTGTAACAATAGCTTGTGAGTCAATCTTCACAGTTTTTTTTTGGCAGCTTATAGCATTTCATGCAGTTTCTTTCTCTATACTACGTAATACATAAATACCAATGACATGTAAAAAAGAATTATTATATATAATATATATATATAATAAAATAAGTAGATAAATATTTTCATAAATGATTAAATTTGTGGAACTAGATCTTAAGTAGATTGTTATAAGTAATTTGTTCGTTAGATTCTTCTTTATGAGATTGCATCTCGTTAAAATTCGTCATGCCTCGCTAGTGCTTCGCCAAAGTCTGTTGCCTGAGATCCGACGAAGACGTCGTATTTTTCCAAGATTTCGTCTTTCGTGAGCTTGTGATCAGCGTCCGTGTCTGCTTCGTAAATCAAGTGCCTAGCCTCTGCTTCTGCATGATCAAATTCCGCGGGAATAATCCACGTCTTTACCTTGTATCAAATTTAATATTTGAATAAATCGGAATTTTGTTGTAACAGTAAACAATATTAATAATTAATATTGTTTACATAGCTTTTCTATAACATTTTTATACAAATAATATACAAATGTTTTTTTTTTATTCTACCTCATCAGCGTTCAAGAATCCATCTCCATCTTTGTCTCTGTACAATGAGAACTGTTCTTTCTCATTCTTCACCCATTCTGGTTCCTCTTCATCTGCAGTTTCTCTATACATATCACCTGTAAAAAAAAAAAATTCCAAGTTATACACTTTAAGGACTTTAAGAGATATTTCAAAGATTTAAAGGAAATTAATGTAATGTAAGTTCTGTTTACCAATATATTCTGTAAGCGATATTTTGCCATCCTCGTCCTTATCAATATCTTCCATTGTTTCTAACACTATCACATCTTTCATATGCTCTGCCTCCTCTGCGTGAAGAAAAGCGGTAAATTCCTCCTTGGTCAGAGCATCATCGCCATCCAAATCCGCGGTCGACCATCTTCTGCGATCCCTCTTGAGCATTTGTAAATATGAAAATGTATCGGCCGATTTGTTCTCGTTTTCTTTCTCACGCTCGTCTATATCATAATAAACCATATTTTTGTACTCTGTCCAAGGCAATTTTTCTTTTCCCTCTGGATTGTGAGAACTCCATTGTCGTTCCACATCATCTCTGATGTAACGCTGTTGTGTATACATTATCCAGTCTTTAAGCTCTTCTTGCGTTACGTAGCCGTCTTTATCCTTGTCTATTCTGTCAACAATCAATCCTAGTCTCCTAGTGCTTTCCTCAGGACTGAGATGATCAAAAGTCTTAGCTTCCTCTCCGAGGAAAGCTTCGTGATCGAAAGCTGAATTGTGTTGCGAGTTGATATAGTGACTTTCATCCTGAAATTAAGACGTTTGATATATTTCTAAAATTTGTGTAATGTATATTTTTATTTCTTATAATTCATTAAAATAACTAGAGCGTTTGCTAAATTTTAATCTACATTTTTTTAACTGCATAATAAGAACAATATAAAAGCATGTTGAATGTCGAAATAAGTTCATCATTCTAGCAATGTGAGAAGATATATACATTATATATATACATAATATTTATAAAAAAAAGTTCAATCTTTTTTTTATGTTTTTAACCTTGTGTAAAACGTGATGTTCGTTGTCCGGCTTCGGGATCGCCGTTGCGAGGATAGAGAAACCAATTAACATTTCGAGAAACATGAGTTCTCGCATTCTACGGAAACTTATTGATGGAAAAAAAAAAAAAAAAAGATGAAAGAGAGAGTCGGTGACCGAGAAACCCGGCGAAGGGGACAAGTTTCCGAACGTCAGAAACGATCGCGGCCGTGATCTCTACGAATTAAATGCGAGGAACTATGAATGCTTTCTTTTCGACTTTTCGACTTCCACATCAGCAAGAGCGACGAAACCAAACGTCACTCCCCCACCTCTCATAAGCTCTATTCTCATTATGGTAGATGTGCGACGCCGCTGACGAGAGACTCACGTGCATGTGTATTTTACACGCGATCCGGACCGAGCAACACACATCGAACGTTCTGCGACCCTATTCCATGGGGAACGAATCCACAGCCTCCACGTGATCGTAACAAATAGAATGTGACATTAGCGAAGATTCTAGTAGAATCGTTGCTCCTTTTAAATGATACTTGGCACAACCGCATTGTGAGCAGCTTGTCTTGCTCAATTATTACATAGGACAAAGAATACGCGATAGAAAAAATTATAAAAGTTATTATTTTTGTGTGCGGGAAACAAGACTCTTTCTTGAGTATATTTAAAAAATAAAATTTAATTTTCTATATAACCATAAAATAAAATACTAATAATAATCAAGTATTGAATTTAGATCTTTTTACTTTCCACATAGCTCATAGGTATTGTTTTTGAGAAAAAAAATTGCATAAAACAAAATTTGTACATTTGTAATATATTATTGTCATATAAAGTAGCAATACACTGTACAAATATAAAGATTATAGAACATTACTTATTCTGAGCACATTAGATTTAATTTTTTATTTAAAATTACATAATTTGCATGATATTCTATAAACTTTTTCTGTGAGAAAATCAATCTCAGACCAATATTCAGAAAATCCAAAAAAAAACAAACAATTCCTGTTAGTATTATTTCTATTTATCTTTTGTTTCAATATTTACATTGACATTGATTCGTATCTGTAGTTCTTTTTCTGTTTCTTTTTGGGAATCCCAGTCTGTCTAAACTCGCTTCTTTCATTCAAATATTGTTCTGTGCATTCCTTGATGAAATCTTCATTGTAGTACCACTTTTCCATACACGCTTTCATTATGTTATTTTCTTTTCTACACTTTACAACATGCAATAATCCAGAGTTAAGACAGCACTGATGGAATTCTGCGAAGATTTTGCAAAACTTACTACATTTTATAATTCTTGTTGATATACGCACCGAACAATTACCTTTAATTTCATCAACGCACTTTTCTTCTTTCGTTCTTTCTCTTATCAGTTTCGGTATCATCACATCTTTTTCAACCTTCCTCAAGGTTCTGTCATCAGGATCACCTAAAAATTAAATATGTTACTCTTTTTTATTCTTAAAAAATTTAAAAATTTTGATACGCCGTGTTGTTTGTCAAAGTATGTCAAACATATGCATGTGTTAATTAAGTGATGTCATTTCTATTTTGACTAATTTTGAAAAACATTACATGCTACGTTCAATTGCGAGATAACCTGTCACCGCGACAGAGTCAGTTGTCTATGTCGATTTTCCGCAGGCAATTTTTTATATGAACATTTATCTCGCTCTGTAGTAGCAAAACTAAAATGCACACGTAAAATGCACATCGAAATAAAAATTTTACCAAATCCCATCGGTCCTCCGCCGAGTTTAGGCGAAAGAATCGTGTATTGCTCTTTTTCTTTCATTGTTTTGCTTCGGAGCTTTTCGTGAAGATAACCAACCAAGAACAGACTGCGCTCGTGATTATGCACATTTGAGGCGTCGGGTGAGAGTTGTGTCAACGGTGAGTTAGTAGAAAACAGTTTGTCGCGGCTAAGTGATATTTTTAAACAAAATTTTGTTGCTACGAATAAATTGCCGTAAGAATATTCGTATTCCAGTTAAAAAAATCATAATCAAACGCGAGGATTATCGATAATCCTGAAAACATGCAGCGTTTCCTTTCTAACCTCTATATCACATTTTAAAGTTTTTGTTTTAACATTTGGCAATTGTGTATTTTTCGAATATTTACAGAATAATCGCGGTATTAAGTTCAACTTACACGCCAGAATGGATAGATTGTTACGATTAGGCGGTGGAATGCCGGGTTTAAATCAAGGCCCACCACCTTCTGACGCACCTGTTGTGGACACAGCTGAGCAGGTATTTATCACATTTAAATGTCCGAATTTATAGAATCCCTTTGTATTGTTATATTTCTTATTTTTCAAGGTGTACATATCATCTTTGGCTCTCTTAAAAATGCTTAAACATGGTCGCGCTGGAGTGCCAATGGAAGTGATGGGTTTGATGCTTGGAGAATTTGTTGACGATTATACTGTTCGTGTTATCGATGTTTTTGCTATGCCGCAAACAGGAACGGTAAATATTGAGAGATGTAGAAATAATACAAAAATATACAAAAAGTACATATAATTTATGTACATCAAGGATGTATGTATGTTTATATACAAGAAGAATGTACAAATTTGTTCATATACAGAATACACATGCTGCACACTTTTGTATTATCTCAGGGTGTCAGTGTTGAAGCAGTTGATCCAGTGTTCCAAGCAAAAATGTTGGACATGTTGAAGCAGACTGGTCGACCAGAAATGGTAGTTGGGTGGTATCATTCTCATCCTGGATTTGGGTGCTGGCTGTCAGGAGTCGACATCAACACCCAACAATCTTTCGAGGCTCTCAGTGAAAGAGCTGTAGCAGTTGTCATCGATCCTATACAATCGGTGAAAGGAAAAGTCGTTATTGATGCATTTAGATTAATCAATCCAAACATGATGGTAAGTATGATGGTGAATCACTGATGTTGATTGTCTGTCTCTGATTGTAGCTTAGATACTGTGTTGATTACAGGTTTTGGGACAAGAACCGAGGCAGACCACGTCGAATTTAGGTCATTTGCAGAAACCGTCCGTTCAAGCTCTGATACATGGATTGAATCGACATTACTACAGCATTAGCATTAATTATCGTAAAAATGAACTCGAGCAGAAGATGCTGCTGAATTTACATAAAAAAACCTGGATGGACGGTCTTACCCTTGCTGAATACTCAGAACACAGTCGTCTCAATGAAAATATTGTTTCAGAAATGCTTGAACTCGCGAAGAACTACAACAAGGTATAAAATATAACAAAGATGGATATTTTAAAACATAAGCACTTATATATCACACAATATATTTAAAATTTCTTTTGGTGTATAATGATACAATTTTAATTTGTCTTTATAGGCTTTAGAAGAAGAAGAGAAGATGACGCCTGAACAATTAGCCATAAAAAATGTGGGCAAGCAAGATCCAAAACGGCATCTCGAAGAAAAGGTCGATGCTCTAATGGCTACAAATATTGTTCAATGTTTGGGAGCTATGCTCGATACAGTTGTATTCAAATAACCGTGTTTCTTTACGTTCAAAACCTGGTATTTAAAAAAGAAAATATACATCTTTTTAAAATAGAAATATGATGCATTCCTAATTGTCTCACCAACAAACAATATGTGTGTGATAAATTTTAAATTTTATTAAAAATGTCGCTTTATATAAATTTGATTTTTGGTCTGCGAAGTAATTTTTGCGAATCGTAGATTGAGACACGTAAATGCTTTTACAAACACAAAGGATTGTACAATATCTAGATGATAACACAATTCATTTGTATATAAAAATAGCTCATCTTGAATATTATTATGGAAGTCAGATTGTGATACACCAGAATATCTTGGGATATTATATCTCTGACGGTATATTTATCATTGCTTATTTTATAGCAATGATTTGTGCAAAACTATAAAACAGAAAACCACATATCTTTTATCAAAAAATACATCAGTGTATCTCATATAAAACTAGTTCTTCCTTTTCATAATTAAAATATAAATGTATAATAAATCTTCTTATTTCAACAAGTTACTAAATAAGAAAAATAATTCAAATTGATAAAAGTAACAGTATATAAATGCAAGAAATGTAAAAAGTAGCAAAATTCACAGATTTTAGTTTTTGCTCGAAACATAAAAGCGTAGAATTCGAGGAGTTACTGTACGCGAAGTAAAATATCGTCTGTATCAAACTTTAAAAAAAAAAAAGTTATTACAAAATGTTATAAGAAAGTAACTGCTTACTTTACGTACATACATATGGTTTCTTTATTATATAAAATTATTTTACTAGAAAAAGAAAAAGATATAAATTTAACTCGATGGAAGTTCCTGATCTTTATCTTTCTTCTTTTTTTTCTTCTTTTTCTCTTCTGTTGTTGATTCCTGAAATATATAAGTTATTGTGTTGATACGTATTAAATTAATATATTTAAAAAGTCGATTACGCGTATTCTAAAAGTTAAAGTCTACTTACCTTACTAGCTTCTTCTTCCATCACTATAGATTCTTCTGTGTCTTGCTTCTCTTTTTCTTTTTCTTTTTCTTTCTTCTTCTTCTTCTTCTTTTCTTTTTTCTCTTTCTTTTTATCTTTCGGTGACGACGTTTCCAGATCTGTTATTTGTTCTTTTTTTACATCTGTTACATCTGTTACATCTGTTGTAGTTTCCTCTCGCTTTCTTTTTCTAGAGTCACTAATTTGGTCGCCATTTGGCTCAAGCTAAATTTAATTAAATGTCTTATAAGTTTTATAATCTCTTTTATATAACAAATCTGCTCAAAAAAAAGACACTAAAAAATTATTATAAAACAATTGACTTGCCTTAACTTCTGTTGTTGTCTTTGTTGTAGTAGAAGAATCGCAATTTTGTAACCACTCAGCTGGCGTGTTCTCGTTTGGTTTTCCATATTTATCCAATTTCCCTTCAATTATCATACGTTTTTTTGCCAATGCTTTAGGTCCTAAGCCCCACTTTCTCGGATATGAATCTCTCTCCATGATTACTCTTTTGGTCTTTGCTGCTACTCCATGATCGCAAGCAGCTATGGTGGATGAAGTCATCAAAGCTATAGCTAAAATACATGTTAATTACATAAATTGTTTGCGAGTTATAGAGAAAGTGTTTTAAATAACAAAAATAAGTTGATATGAATATTTTTCCGTGCAAATTTACTCTATAAATATATTTACCAAGTGCCACAGCTTCACCCTTAGTAGTTACGATTACAATCTCCTGATTTAATTCTATTCCTTGGTCATACATTAAAATACCCGGCAACATTATTTTTGCTCCGTAACAAATAGCATTAACCTAACGCACACAAATTTATAAATTTTGTTACATAAATATATATATCTCCTATTATCTTTTATCAATACAATAAAATATAACAAAAATACGTACAGCACTGTCTTTCAAGATAATTCTCTTGTGGTTTATTAGTAGTGCTTCGAGTGGTTTAATAACTCTTCTCAAATACGATTCATCTCCGTGATTATCGTACAGCCATTGGGCATCAATTATATCATGCATGGTAACCATATTATCATCTTCAGATTGAACTCCGGAACGACTTCTGCGGAGTTCCTGCATGTGACAACCAGTACCCAAAAAGAGTCCCAGATGAACACACATCGTTCTGATGTACGAGCCAGCTTCGCAGCTAACGCGGAATATTCCCATATTGCGTTCTTCATCGTAATCAAGGAGCTTACTGTCATAAACTGTTCTAACGCGAAGCTGTCTTTTGACTGCCGATATTAAGGGCGGTCGTTGGAACAGAGCACCGCGCAATTTCTCCAACGCTTGCTTTACCTAAGATAATCACATATTATACACCTATGGTATATCTACAATATTATTTCAAGTTTTAAAAACATTTAACAACATACTTTCTGTACACTTTCTGGCGCCGAGTGCAGTTTGAATACAGCAATGTATTCTTTTCCAGCGGATTGTTGTGACTTTGCTAATCTGGTTGCTCTATCTATGCAGACTATCAAGCATCCTGATACTTTAGGATCTAATGTGCCAGAGTGACCAGTTTTCTGCACTCTTAAAATTTTCTTTATCCAAGCTACTACTTCATGCGATGATGGATTGCACGGTTTGTCTAAATTAATACAACCTGATTTTATGTATTCTGATAATTCACGATTAAGTGGGGTTGAACCACTTGTGCATGGTGTAAAATGTTTTGTACGTGTTAACATTTTATCAAAATTCTGCAATAAAATAATTTTATTTTATTAATTATCAAATAATTATTGCTATATATCTTGTGTTACATATAGGAAAAATTTATAAGAGCAAAAAACACAGACCTTGAATAGTAAAGGCCAGTCTTTACATTCAAGCTTTACTTCCTCATTGGAAGGCTGAAGTTCACACTTCATCTTCTTTTGAAGATCACCAAGTGAATCCTTCTTTTTACTTGTGTCTGCAACTAAGATAATATGAGTACAACTTAATCTATATCTTTTTAAGAGCTCTCGACCTGTTCATACCGGTTGACAAAAGTGCAAAGTATAATCCAATCTAACCTATTTAACCTATAAATTTTATGCCCGCTCAACAGCTACAGAAAACAAAACCCATTGTTGAAATTAAATGTTACAGCAACTTTAATATACGAAAGATTTTGAATCTATCATTTTTTTAAATATTTCAAACAGTACTATCACTGTAATAACTGTAAAACTAAGCACACACGTGTTCACCTCCTTCAACATTAAAGCTAAGATTTAACACGTACAATGTTGCGTTATGCAACCTAAAAAAATTTGTAATGCATTTAATACTTACCATCTGTCATCTTGACAAATTTTTAATTAAAAACACGTCAAAAACACAACGCGCTTATCAACACGTGGAAACACTCTCAAACGCTAAAAAGCACCAAAACCTTAGAACGTATATACTGGAAGGAGCATAGCCATGGTGTAAGAAATAAGATAAACCGCTTCGAGGATGCGCAGTCGTCCAAGAAAATAGCGGCAATGGCGGATAGAGGAACCAATCAAATTTTGATTCAAAATTATATGATGTTTTATATATAGGCTGTGTTCCAAAATTCACTGCCAACGCTAAAGATCTATAGTTTATGTCACATATATTATACAATTTTAACACTAGCAGCGTGCTGGCAGCAATTCTGGAACACAGCTATAGGTGCTTTTCTGCTAAACACTGTGCACTGTGTAACACAACGTCCATTAGTGTGAGAAAGAGCATATCAGTGTGTCTCACACATAGACGTATAATATATAGGCTGTGTTCCAAATTTACTGCCAGCACGCTGCCAGTGCTAAAATTGTATAATATATGTGACTTAAACTATAGATCCTTAGCGCTGGCAGTGAATTTTGAAACACAGCCATAGACTGCGCGTTTGGCTGAAAAGATGTCTTCAACGTTGAGAGAGACAACATACTTTGAATAGTAAGGGTCTCCGCACAAACTCTTCCTTAACGCGTTACGTTACGTTAAGTTGGCTATGAACTTAGATTTGTACGTAAACTTGAACGTCATTCAACGCACATTCACCAGCTCGACCAATCATAGCCATTCCGTTTTCTTTCCTTCGCTTTTTCTATGGTTACGATTGGTCGAGCTGGTTCCGCACATTCCGTTCCGCTATAGATTTCAGGTCAATGGGACATCGCCCTAAGCGTTCACTGATCTGCTCAGTCTGCTGAACGTGGCCAGTATCACCTGTGTACAGACGGCGTCAAAAATTCGCGGAGTTGCCGCGGGGATCGGAGGGCCAGCGGAGCGGTTGCTCATAGCGCCAGCGAGCGCCGTACGAACTAAATAGTAGCAATCGGATGTCCACAACTACGTCGTGTCGATAATGTAACTGTTCTTCCTTCCTATTTTCTTCTCAAAACGTAAAAGTATTCCCCATTGCCACTGTAAACGCACGCCGTGACTCCACGCCGTGACTCCACGTGTGCCTTCGCGTGCGATTGCACGTTTTGCTATCGGGGTTAGCCTGCTATTGAGAATAAGCATACAGAAGTTATTAAACTAAAATTAATTTAACTACTTTTAACAAACGGTTCTAAAGTTAACAGCAACACTGACGAATCTCATGATTCTTCACTTCATCTTGCTGTTATAAACGGTGACATAGAAATTGTTAAGATGCTTCTAGACAGATGTGCTAACGTTAATGCTCCAACTAGGTATGGCACATCTCTACTTTACGATGCGATTGAAAATAAGGAAATAGAAATGGCTGAATTACTATTAAATCGTGGAGCTAACGTTAATGCCAGTGATGAGTCAGGTATAACTTTATATTGCAGCTGAGAAAAGATATTTACAGATTGATGAACATCTTTTAGAACATTAAGTTTAATTGGAGAGGTAATTCTACATATATCTTTTCCTTTTCAGGTGTTACACCACTGTGTCTTGCTGTTAAAAAAGGACATGTAGATGTTGTTAAGATGCTCATAGACAGAGGTGCTAACGTTAATACTAAAACTCGGGATGGCACAACTCCGCTTCACTATGCGATTAAATATAAGAATAGGAAAATTGCTGAATTACTATTAAATCATAGAGCTAACGTTAATGCCAGTGATAAGTCAGGTATAACTTTATATTGCAGCTGAGAAAAGATATTTACAGATTGATGAACATCTTTTAGAACATTAAGTTTAATTGGAGAGTTAATTCTACATACATCTTTTCCTTTTCAGGTGTTACACCAATGTGTCTTGCTGTTGAAAGAAGATATGTAGATGGTATTAAGATGTTCATGGACAGAGGTGTTAACGTTGAAACTTTGTTTGGCACATATTCGCTTCATGATGCGATTGTAAATAAGGAAATAGAAATTGCTGAATTACTATTAAATCGTGGAGCTAACGTTAATGCCAGTAATAGATACGGTATACCTTTATATAGCAGCTGAGAAAAGATATTTACAGATTCATAAACATCTTTTAGAACATTAAGTTTAATTGGAGAGTTAATTCTACATACATCTTTTCCTTTTCAGGTGTTACACCACTGTGTCTTGCTGTTAAAGGAGGACATGTAGATGTTGTTAAGATGCTCATGGACAGAGGTGCTAACGTTTTTGCTAAAACTTTGGATGGCTCAACTCTACTTCACTATGCGAAGAATATGAAAATTGCTGAATTACTATTAAATCATGGAGCTAACGTTAATGCCAGTAATAAATACGGTATACCTTTATATTGCAGCTGAGAAAAGATATTTACAGATTCATAAACATCTTTTAAAACATGGAGTTTTATGTTAATGTGACATATATCTCTTTCTTTACGCCAGGGTTTACACCACTGAGTTTTGCTGTTGAAACAAGTCCTGTAGAAGTTGTTGCGATGTTGTTAGACAGAGGTGCTAACATTAATGTTATATCATATAAGGATTATTATGACTCTTCTAGTCGCATCTATCGTGGAGAAATTGCTGAGTGTCTTAAACAGCATATAGTTAAGTTAAAAGCTGCAAATTTATTCGTGAGTGAACAATTATTATCAATGAGCAGCAATTATGAAATAAGAGATTTACAGGATAAATGTGAAAGAGAAGTAGCATTCATGAAGAATGAGAAAATTAGTAATACTAGCATATCATTTTACGATATCTTGATAAAAGATACAAATCTAGAAGCAATATACATGAAAAATGAAAATGTAGTGCAGGTTTTAAGATCAGACGAGTATAAAACAAAATTTCCAATATACTTTAGCATGATAAAAAATCAGTTCAGAAATGGTATGAAAAGGAAAGAGTTGCTCGAACAAGGCATTAAAATTTTCTATTTTTTCTGTAACTTTCCTGAGCTACCACTTGAGTGTATTGAACAAATATTTAGTTATCTAAGAGATGATGACATAAGAATTTTAATAGATAATTGTAAGTCTGTTAGTGTCAGTACTTAATACTGATATTAATAATAGAAATTACTTCAAATACATCTAAAGTGCTATGTGTGTAAGTTAAGGAAGAACAAACTACTTTAAACATGAAATAACAGCTATAAAAACTTAAAGATTATTGCTGTATTTTAAATACAGATTACTATCTTATTTTGAAATTATTTTTTTTTTTTAAGATTTTATCTTATCCTACTTTTTTGAAAGTTGTTTTATACGTTTACATTCTCTTGGACGTGTTTTTTTTTTTATGGTGGATCCAAGGAAAACTAGGCTGTTTTATATCTTCCACTTTTTCTTTGTATCAGATTTTATAACATTTGTATAACGCAAAATTTATATACATTAATCCGATGATACTTTTTTATTGAACAGAGTGTAACACGTGTAATTGCTTTTATTAATTTAAAAAATAAAATTAGAGTGAAAAGCTTTGAATTAATCTTTGTTTTTATCACAAATATATGTATGTATTTTCTTTATATACAAGATGTCCGACAATTACTTTAACATCTCTCGTAGGCAGATAGAAGGAGTAAAACTGAGTATATATATATTATATAAGGATCCGTTGTTTCGCATTCGGCAATTTTGTATAAACAGAAGCATTGAAATCCTATAATTAAACTCTACCGGTTCCGGCATAAGTTAACAGTTATTGCCCGCATAAACCAAGCTTTACCCATAAAGAGCCGTCTACAATGGAGAGTTGTAGGCCGTAATAGTAAGAAATTGACCAATCACAGACAAAGTACAGAAGAATAATCGATTGTGATTTGTCAATTTCTTACTGTTACGGTCTAAAACTCTCCATTGTAAACGACCCTTAAAATGTAAATGGGTGCGTTCAGACAACTCAACAGTTGCACACCGGTTGATAGATAATCACTTCTGATTGGATCATACTTCTGGATCCGTTGTAGATTTTGTAGAATAGTCCTATCATAAGTGATGATCTTTCAACCGTTGAGTTTTCTGAACGTAACCAATGTCGTAATAATTGCTATCTAGCGCCGCCTAGCGGCTTGGCGTCATTAAGGGTCGTCTACAATGAAGAGTTTTAGACTGTAACAGTAAGAAACTGACAAATCACAATCGATTATTCTTCTGTACTTTGCCTGTGATTGGTCAATTTCTTACTATTACGGCCCACAACTCTCCATTGTAGACGGCTCTTAATATATAGACCGCGAATTTTTGACGCGTCTGTACGATACGCCTTCTTTACGCGTATTGTATCAAAATGATATGCGTATCAAGCACATTTATAATGATGTAAACACTAAAATTATACATTGAAAAACAAATTTTATTTGATTAGCGCACCAAAAAGATATACGGTGTAAACTAGGCCAATGTATTTTTTTTGTTCTTTTTTAAAAACCAAGCGTACTCACTATAGTGAAAAGTAGTAGGACCTTTCCACATTTTACTTTTCGTTTCACTTTAATTCCTAATTAATCAACTCACATTATAGTTTTACTTTGCCCCGAAGTTTTACTTTAAAAAATCTAATAAATTATATAGTAGTTTATTTATCGATTTGTTTATCACAAATAAAGGAATTGCGCGTCATCAAGTTATGGATCAGCTGTTAGCAGCATAGTTATCAGCTGATAGGTAGCGTCTGGTAGTGTTATATTGCGGGATGTGTTGCGCATGTGCGAAATAAAAGAAAAATGATAGCAAAGAATAATTTATAAGCGAGAGAGAAACACATTCTAAGCGAACAAACGATAAGCAGAACTGGATTGCTGGATTCATTGTTGCAGGAAAAAAAAACAAAAAAGTATATTTATGTTAAAATTTACATTTGTGTTCTATTTCATGTTTACACGTCAAACTAAATAAGATACTAACATATCATTCTCTCCACTCCCAACTAATAATAATTCATTTATTAAGTTGCCGGAAGAAGAGCAAAAAATGCTGATTTATATTTTATGTGCAAAGCATTTTACTTCGAAAATCGATCGTACACCGATCTCGAACAATTGTGCGAAATGATAAAACGTATCTTTCGTAACAGTTTTGTCCGACATCCATGAAAGTTTATTAATATAGGTAGCACGCAGGCAAAAGTTATTTTGGGCAAATGCTTGCTTGTGGTAACCTTATAAAACACAACATAAATCCTACTGATTTTAACATTGACCGTCACCCTTGGATCTAGCGCTTTGAAATACTCACTCTAACTAATCTTGTTTAAAACATGGATCCAGATGATTTAGAGATGGCAAACGAAATCAAAAGCAAAGTCATATTGCACTGGAACTGTCGAGACTTGGTGGAATTTCCGGAAGTGATAAGATTGCACGGTAGTCACATCAGGGAAATATATCTCAAATGGAACAAGCTCACTACTTTGCCATCCTGGATCATGGAACTGTTTAATGTGACCAACTTATACATGTACGGCAATCTGATTAAACAACTGCCTGTGGAACTCGGCAAGATGACCCAGTTAACAGTACTGGATTTAAGTGACAATAAATTGGAGCAGATACCTTCCTGTATCGGTAATTTGAGCAATCTAAAATCTCTCTACCTAAATGATAACTTCATAGAAAGATTGCCATTTGGTAAGTGTGATTGCTAGATGTGTTCCGTTGCGAGAATTAAAGGATTTATTGATTTAAAAGACAAATAATAACAGAAATGAGTCAACTGAGTAATCTGGAAATATTGTCCGTCTCGGACAATCAGATTGTTGCACTGCCGGAATGGACTGGCTCTCTACCAAAGCTGAAAGAATTATATGCAGATCATAATCGGTTAAAAGAACTACCCAACAGATTGACAACAGCCTCCGAACTTGCCATGATCTCTGTATGTTTCAACAGGTTATTATTTTACTCACATTATTGCAGTTTTTACAAAATAAGCACTTTATCTCTTTACATCGAGGTTGTCGTAAATTTGCACAATTTGTATATGCATATACATATTAAAATTAAAGAATATAAGGTTTTTTAAAGTTTTGTACGAATATTTGCATAGGTTGAAGTATTTGCCACTGAATGGTTTCTCCTCGTCTCCTTGCATTCGATTTCATGCAAATAAATATTTGAATTACATGTCATATCCTCTTCTATTTCAACTGCTTTCGCAACTTCGAATAACGTGTGGGTAAGCTCTCTTAGAAATGTTAAGCAAGAGAGAAATAAAGTGTCTACAAATGGAAAAAAAAAAAATCTCGAACACACTGTTTTACTTTGAGATATGTGTGTATAAAGTAGATTTACAATCTATATGTATGTATACAATCACAGATGTTTCAAGACGCATTATGACGCCAGTGTGATAAACACAAATATAAAGTTGTACGTAGAAACGAAAATCTTATACGAAATGAACAACGTTATAATGAACGACGTTATAATTGAATTGCCGCGACAGCTTCTAAAGATTCACGAGATCCACGAGAATGCAATCTGTTCTCTGTGGGAATTAGCATTGAGAAAAGTTTATACTGACAGGTAATAGAAGAAGTTTCGATAAAAATAGGAATCGTTCCTTTTTCTGCACACATAGTTTCACACAAATGTATTTTAGATATAAGCACACGCTCGATGTTTCTTCCACAAAAGTAACAATATTCTACAGACCGCTTTTTAAGAGCACTAAACTCGACTTCACATTATCCTCTACGAACTACACTTTGTACAATTTATTAACGAACGGACCCACCAGTATCTGCGTAAATTCTCAGTGTCAGCAGCCTATATTTACAGAAGCGTGGATTATCATCGGTATCAATTGTTACGCAGACTCCATTATAACGACAGCTCTATGTTGCAGTAAAAGGTAACGTATATAAAATAATCGTAGTACCTGAGTATTTCAGTTTATATGAGTTTTCTTTAACTTTGCAGTTGTGCTAATGCATTTGCTACACACTCGAATACAACAATTAAGCTTCATTGGCACACCATCAATTGATGTATATGTAAACTCTCTTTTCATTAGATATCTAATATATTTCTGTACATATGTAAAAACTGTTAGGAAAATAAAATCATTGTTGCGCATACGATTGAAGTGTTTCGATGACAAATCTAATTTGTTTGTGATTATAAAAATTCATCCCGCGGAGCAGAACCGGCTATTTTATTTACTTAATGCCCGATAGAAATTCAAATTCCATAATATAACACAGACACGAGAAATTATATTGATGTAAAATATTACACAAATACACTATTAAATATAGCTTTGTTTAGGTTTCATTAGTCAAGACTAGCCTCATTGAATACTATCTTTTTATTATTAAAATATATACGTTATTATTCATTTTTTAATGCAAATGTATATTCCCTCTTTCTCGGTGCAATATATAAAATTTCAATGTTTACTTGCACACATTTTTTTTCTACATAAAATTAAATTACAAAAAATATTTTAGTTTAAATTTTTTTTTGAGGGATGACTATCGTTTACTCAGCGATCAGAAGATCTAATGCTTTATCACGATCGAAATTACACTTTACTAAAGTCTCTGAAGCTTCATCTTCGGGAAATCCTAAATCTTTTAATGTACGTAAATTTTCGTAGTACAGTTTTGCTTTGTATTGATCATGTTGCGTGAGCATAAGCGCTTTCTCGGCATAATCACCTGGAATACCACTTTCCTCTAAAGATTGGACGGCCAATAAAAATTCTACGATCTTCTTTTCATGTACCCGACCTAATTTCAAGACCGCACGTGTTGCTCTACTTATGGAAAATCCCATATCACCTAACTGCATGACCAACTTTCGATCATCTTCCGTCATGCCCGATAACAAGTCCACTGGCGACTTTGCGTGATTCGGTGATGTTGCTTCACGCTTTGGAGTTGCACACGTATCGCTATCTGGACTTTCTAAATCAGGCCACGGCTTCCAATTCTGTCGGTAAAACAAATCGTTTTAATTGGAATCACGGTCTGTCTAAGATTATCGTAAAGAAAAATTCTATTACCTCCATAACAGGCCGTTCTAGTTCCTTTTGAAGTTCTTGCATTATTACTGAAACACTGCGGTGGTTCTCAACATCGGTATGTGTATCTGTATCAGTTTGACTGTCCACTTGATTTTTCATCTCATCAACTTTTTCTTCCTTATGAATTTCTGTAATTTCGTCCATTGTTAATTCATTTATAATATTCTCCAATTTTCCTGCTGGTATCCATTGTGAAGTAGGTTGTAAGACCTACAGGCAAAAACTTAACATGATTATCACATTTCTATAATTATGCATACTATATGTATAGAAGTAAAATATGTGGCAATTTATTATTAACCTGTGCCAATTCTTCCATATCGTTGATGGTTTTCAATTCCATATTGTCAAAAGGACTGCTTGTGTCGTTATCAAAATCAGCAAAATCCAGACCTCCATTGATCTTCATATGATCCTGAAGATCATGAAGATCATTGGAAGGTGACAAAGGTTGCGGTTTGAGTATTGTTGTCTCCGGAGCAGGTGCTGTACTAATAGGTAGTTGTTTCATACAATCAGGCGAGAGAGATGGAGGTGACGGAGGGCTCTCTTCCTTCTCTTTTCTCCTTTTCTCTTCTAAGCGAGCTTGACGTGCCTTGTTGCTGGACTGTCTAGCCTTACGCCACTCGTACATCTGATCACAATGTAAGTATTCACTAAGTCAAGAATTAAGTCAGTTCAAACAACAAGTCATATAAAATCATTTTTATGCTCACATGTTCGAAATAAATTTTAGTTTATAGTGTTTTGTTAGTTCAACAAATTGCGGCTTACCTTCTCGAGTACCGATTTCTCCAGACTGAAATCGTACATCATCTTCGACACGTCAGGCAAACGATTGTTGTACGCCGCGGGTAGACCGATCTTCCTCGGTGGTTTGTAGGCCTCTGCGATTTTGACGTGAACCCCATCCATGTACGACGCGACCAAATCGCATTGCGCCGATATAGAAGTACGAGCCATTCTACATGCAAAACAACACTGGGAAATAAACGCGCGCGATTCTGCGCTACAAGTTCTTCACTTTACTCATCGAGTCTCGTGATGTAACCTAGCTTACATCGCAATAAATCTCTCTCGATTGCGCGTGACGCACGCCACCGATACATCTCGTGCGCGTTAATCGCGATTTAATTGAACAAGGTAATCGTATTTTGCTGCAGTTTGACACTCATGAGACGTATATCTTCCCGAGAGTTCACACGGCGCTCGAGAACAGGTTTTATTTGACAGCTCGAATACTCGCTATAGCCATATTGAATGTTCTCCAATGCTTCAAAAAAAACAAAAAAAAAAAAAAAAAAAGGTTTTGATCTCCGTTAAACGAGGTTTGAATCTCCGCTAAATAGAATTTTTACACACCATGTATATTGATTATTGAATAAAAAATAGAACACTTCTGTGATCACTTCTAATGTACATTGCAGAAAGGATCTTGAAAAACAAATTTCCGAGATACTCGAAAATAAGTACAAGAAATAGTGAATCTTAATTTTGTTCTGTATTTCGTCATATTTTATCTTATTAGTCATTGTTACAGTTTTATATTTAAAAATACTTGTTTAAAAAAGTAATTTCACTTTTTTTAATTACTGCGCGCAACAGTAATTACATAAACGTATTCGCATAAAAGATAGGCAAGTAATATATTTTTGTACTGTGGATGTATCACAGATATACGTACGTATATGTGAAAATTATGTCAACAATAATAAATTATCTCTTTTGTTTCCAACTACGGAACGCGTTCCTAAAAACTATGTACATTTTAATTTATCTAACAGCACGACTCAGTTTTCGATTAAAATCTATCGTAATAGAGAAAGCAGCAAGCCTCTTTCGTTGGTTTGCGTTTTCCTTTCTAATATAATTTTGGAATTAACGTCAGTTGCGTCTACTATCTGTTGTCGCTTGGCTTGAAGAGCTTTCATATAAGCGAGGAAACACGTCCACACTAAACTGCACACACTGACATATACAACGCGATTTTGTTCTGGGACTAGAGTGAAGTTGATCGTTTGTAGAATCGGCCATACGCAAATAGCGACCTGAGAAAACAAAATCTTATATTAATTACTTGCTTTATTTCTACTTTTAATAAGTACACATCTTATCTTATGTACGATATACCTTATATGTTGGCCAGAATTTAATTTTGACCTCTTCAATACATTCCGAAACTGGCTTTAATTCAAGAAGACTCATGCCAAAAAAGAAAGAACACATAGCTGCGGGAGTGTACGTCACTTGTTCAACCAAAGCCTGTAAAAATTAATTGTTTCATTTATTATTATAATAGTAATTCAATATTATTTTCATATCATTTAATGTTCTTCTTTTTGCACAAAAATATTCTTCAAAGAATTTAAATATCAAACCTGAATATAGCGTCTAAGTTTTTTTCTCATAAAATATGCACACCTTAGTGATAGCAGACTTTAAATTCGCTTTTGGCCAAAAGTAAGACGAACATTTTATCCAGCAATATAGAGTAGGTGCCACGTAAAAACCACCGTACAGACTGAACCGCAGAGCTTCAGTGAAATTGAACTCCTCTTTCCCCGTTATTTTCTGTTGCAACAGGCATCCGGTTGGCCATATAATCGAGTAAGATGCCATCCCTCGAACGATCGGATATTTCTGCGTGATTTCGCGAAATTTCACCAGTATCACGCGCATTCTCGGAGTCGCTGTATCACAAACAAATGTATACATCTTTTTTTTAAATCATTGTCATATAAAAATAAATATACTATAGTTGCTTATATAGCTTCAAATTAATTTTTCTCTATCTTCATACTTTTTTTTGTTTAAAAATTCTTCTGTCGCTATATGACGCGCGTGTTTCGTAATTTCTCAATGCATTGCGTCACACACGTGGTTTTTCCTTTAATGCACAAATTAATCAATTACCTGTTTAACGTTATCGGAAGTTATAGGAGCGCAACGCTCGACGGAAGATACACCCGCACTGTGACAGGCTGCAGCGTTCCGTATGTACACATGTGCTGTCGGTACATTTGGAAAGAGCTCGCTGTGACGCGACGACGTTGACTAACATCTCGCGTCGCCTGAACACGCGCGTCCGTCGTCGACGGTGATGACGAAATCGTTCGAATCCATTCTTATCTGTCCTTGGTACGCGTCATCAAAGTAAGCAATAAAAAAGCATTTTTCTACTGAATTGATTGCGTAGCGCAGCTGTATACGCATCTTTCCAGGTAAAGCAGAGCGCGATAAAAGTCGATAATCTTGCTACGATTGCGCGACTAATTCTAAATATATTACAATTGGATTTAGGAATGATGTAACGTAATCTGCGCGTAATGACACGAAGATCGTAACTTGCACTTGTGTCTGTGTACGTATGTATATATATAGTATATAATATTCAAGCAACAAGAAATGCAAGATATGTGAATTCTCTTTACAAATTGACTGTTCACGCGTGTTTACGCAATAAGATACATATACTGTACATAAGATAGATACAGGCATCAGTAATAAAGACGTTACACATATATAATTACAATAAAATATTTAAAAATGCAGAATTATTTGCATGATTGTGTACATAATATACATTCATTATCCTCTATGAATGTCGCGATATACATGGAACACTTTACGGGAACCTGTACATAAAAGTTTTACAATGCCAACAGTTGAGAAAAAACAAAGCTTACTTTATGACATGCTATAATATACATTTCTCTCTTCGATGTTTTTTACATTATACAGTTTCAAATTACAATATAATCCTCATAAAGCAAGCTTTTTTGTAATAATGTAAATTACAGTATGTGTGTGTGTGTGTGTATGTGCGCACACGCGCGCAATGTTACAAATGTGATCTTTACAAATATATGTAACAAACATTCTTAAACAAATGTTACCACGTTATTCATCATATTGTACAATCGGTCAGAATTGTACAAGGCTGTTCTCACAATTGTTTTGCATCAGCTTTTCATACTTTAATAAAAAAATACCGCATATTTCCAATGATCGCGATCTGTAAATTTCTACATTTCTAAAATCATACGCATAAGTTCTGTCATTTCAACAATATTTTAAATTCTTAATTTTTGTTGTTGTTGGCACAGTTCATTTTATGAATCGGAATTCTAATAACACAACGCTCATTACGTCGTAATGTCAAATAGATCACAAATGCCCTCAGTGTCACTAAGATTGAACTGATAATCTTTCTCTCCCGGAGGTGGACTCAGTCTCATTAATGGACCATAAACTGCAAATATAAAATTTAACAGTAAATTTCTTTTTTCAAACAAAAAATATAAAATAATTGTTTTACTTACAATCGGAATAGAATTGTTCGAAAAATTCCAAATCTCTTTGGACACTATCTGTAATAAAATTTTTATTGCAATGTGAGTTTTTTCTTTCATATAATAAAAATAAATGTCTGCATATAATAAATACAAACTTCTTGAAAATAAACAAAAACGTAGATTCAAACTGCAAAATGAAATTTACCTGACGTGTTCACGTCACGAAGAAGTATCTTGGCTTCTACTAATTCTGGATCTTCCTCATCATCATCGTCAGTTAATACTGGATCCGCCTTGGTTTTTGGTGGTCTAAAGTAATGTCCAATGGAATTAATGTATTCTTATGTAATTGCGTATAACCTCAAGATACAAATATAATATACAAAGTTTGTGTACATTTTGTAACCAAATGAATAGTTTAAGCTTGAGAACTATTCATCCCCAATACAAAATAAATTAACAAATTACTATCTGCTCTATGCACAGATCAAGAATATTATGTTGCTATTCTTGACACGATACTAGAGCACAAGCAGAAACTCATTTTTGTACAAATGCAATAATTTACCTGCCAACTTTTCTTTTTGGTTTAACAATGACTTCTCCCTCCTTCTTTTCATCATCCTCATTTCCACGCTTCGTGCCTTTTGATTCTTCTTTCAATCTCATTTCTAATATTTTACTATCATAATTTTTAGCTAATTCGGGTTGAACCATATATACCTTAATTTCTCCTGAATTACTCTTCAAGAACATGTTGTAGCTTGTCGAATCATCCTGTACACCATTCTACACCACAAATACAAAATAAAAATACAAATATTTCAATAGTCACATTAAAGATTTTGTACAAATATTGTGTGTATTTCAAATACCTTTACATTATTTGATACTTTTAGTTCTGTGTTCGGAGGAGCTTGAATTCCTAGAACAAACTGATCCAGAAAGTTCTCTTTTACATCCTCATAGGTAATATAAGCATATTTTCTGTTTATTATATCATTTTGTATATTTTTTATGCTCTGCAAAATCCATTGAGTATGTGCATCTAATAATTGTTCGTGATCTTCCAATTTTCTGAGTTCCTCCCTTAGGTCTGTCACTTTCTCGCTGACTTCTTGAGTGTTGCAACCTGGCCCTGCACCTCTATGAATAAAAATTGTAAAATAACATTACAGAATGAAATAAACGTAAACATTATGATAATAATGATTAACAACTAAAGAACAGTTAGAGTTGTTAGATTGCTCCAAGCTTATGAAAACTTACTTCCATTGAATGCTGTTTTTGCTTTTCTTCTCTATGAGACCGATACCTTCAAGAACGTTCGTAATATCGTAAATGCGCCGTTTCTGTCGCACTTCTAAAAGATCCGCGGCCTGCAATGTGAGCGATAATATCTTATCAACTGTCGAAATATAAATGACGTTTCCTTTATAGGTTAGGGTAAGATTATGTGTTACAACGTTAAAACAATATGATTGTGTCAACTATGATCTGAAAGCCAAAACGAAGCTCTGCAAAGTGGACAAGATATCCACGAGTTTGAGAACCGATGGAGTGGACACCAATGATCCCCCGCGTGACCAAGCACTTCTTTCAAAATTCCCGCAACCCAGAATGGCGTGTACGCCCGCGATAACTTAACCTCGTTATTTAGGTTAACTTTTTGGGTCGTACCGCGAAGACGAATACTCACAGCTTTTAAATCCAATACACCGTCCTTTGCTTTCTGCAATAGAGAGACAAAGCGAGCGGTTAGTAATCCGAGGGACTTTTCAAATCGACTCTGCTGATTATCTGCCATTATCTCGAACGTTGTCAAAATTTTCAAAACTTGCTAGTCCCTTCGAAATTGCCGCAACACCACGGACGCCATCGTAGTTAACGCGCAACGGCCATTCAAATATAAGCGGGTTTCTATGTGCTGTCGGTAACACACAAGTTTTTTTTTCCAGCAATAAAGTTATAATTAAGAAAAAAAAATATATATCATAAATGCGCATATAATATACAAACTTGTTCCAATTTTATGAAAGTAATTTATTTGTAAATACAGAAAAAATTGTAGTAAAAAAGTAATATCCATTTAGTCTCTGTCTTTTGTACTAAATATATATTAAAATGTTTTTCATATGTATAAAAAAGTCAGAATTGTAGGAAAACGTGGCGCTTCTTTATACATGTAATAGTTATACACATATAATAGTCCTTTATAATAGTTCTTAATTATAAAAATCACGTGAATTATAATAATAAAAATTTTACAAATCTATAACATAATTTAAAAATATTTAAAGATGAATCTTGCAAAACCAAAAACGTTGCAAAGTATAAAAATTTATTTTCCAAAAAGCTTTCTCCACAAGAAAAACGTGTCGACTCTAAGTTTGATACTTCTTTAATGAAATTACATATAAATTTGTATTGTGAAGTTCGTTGAAAATTAATATAATTCACCAGAAATTGACTGAGTGAAGTGAGACAATGTCAATTGTCAACGTTATTGTTAAACATGTCAACGTGTATACTCAGATAACACGAGTAAATACATATACTTTATTTTAGCTTACTTAAAGTTTTTTTTTATCGATTGCACGACTAAAAGTAGAGTCGGTACGATTGGAGAAAACCTTTTGGAAAATATATTTTTATGTACCAACATCGGCTTTTTCAATTCTACAAAATTTTAATATTTTTAAATTTGGTTAGATGTTATAACCACTGAATTATATAAATTTATCAAGTTCATAATATTTCAGATTCTAGGGAAAGAGAAATTCGTTAGACGTAATTGGTTCTGGACTCTGACTAGAGCTAGCAGAACTAAGAGTCTCATCTTTAAGTTTTAAAGCCGATGAATCCTTGTCTTTAGGTTTTTCCTTTTCTTTATCCTTATTTTTATCTTTTTCTTTCTTGTCTTTATCTTTATGTTTATGATGACGATGCTTATGCTTATGTTTTTTCTTGTCCTTTTTCTTCTTTTTGCTCTAAAAACACAAAAACAATTTTGTCCCAAAAATCTTCTCTATGTTTTATATTCTCACAACATGTTAAACTTCACAAATAATTTTACACACACATATTCTTTATAATAAAAAAAAAAAGCTAAATCTTTACATACCTTATTGCTAGAATCAGTCTTGGATTTATGTTCGTCTAGTTCTTTTTTAAACATGCCTGGTTCAAAACCTACTGGACCAGGAGTTCCCATGATACCAGGAAGTGATGCGGAATTATCGCTGTAATATTCGGACTTCACTTTTCCTTCACTAGGTACAGGAATACCTCGTTCATCTTGCTACAAGTAACAATAAATTTTACTTATAATTTATAAAATAACAAAATAGAGAAGAGAAAAAAATTAAGGATTTCGTACATTGTTTACTTTTTGCCGTTTTACTTCTGGTCCATATTCCATTGAATTAGATGGACCCGGAGGATCTCTATTTGGAGATATTTTTCTCTTAGTTTGGACTGGAGGAGTCTCAATTTCGTCGATCGATTCGTGTCTTACGTGTTGCACTGGTGGAATCTTCACCTGCGAATGTGTGCATATCAGTTACTTATCAAGATACTAAATATTGTTTGTGAGTAATTGAAATTGTTTAAATTATATAACAACAAAGCGTACAGAAACGAGATTTACTTCATCCTCCGGACTTTGTGGACCGCTCTTTTTAGGTTTTGTGAGTCCCGCTAGTTCGGGGACAGGAAGACAAAATGGTGCTTTTGTACCGTACAAAGTATAATATAGGTCCACTAAATCGCAACGCAATTTTGCATCGTGCGATAACATGCCACTATAAAAAATCATATATTATTAAGTAAACAATAAATAAATATAAAATAACAAAACAATAGAAATTGGATGTTTTGTCCTACTTAATCAAGTTCCATATGCGGTCAACTAAGTCTGGTTTATCCAGACGATGCTTGTGAGCTTTTTCAAACGGTGGATTCTCTACCATCAGTCGTACAAGTCTGTGACGTATACCGGGATGCGGATCCATTTCCGCCATATCTAACAAGAAGTCTAAGTCTTCTGATTTACCATCCACACGAGTAAAGTCGACTAAAGCTTCTAAAGCTGCTATCCTGATATCTAAAACAATTAAAAATTAAAACTAACAATACGTAAACGGTCAATGAGAGCCTTACGCTGGATGTTCGTTGCAAAATAAATAAATAAATAAATAAATAAATAAATTATATATATATATATATATATATATATATTAAAATTTCCTTGTGTTTTACACGTGAATTTTAGATTGAAATTTCAATTCGTAAATTCATATAAGATGTTATATTTGCATCTCGCAACAAATATACATCTAGCGTAAGGCTCTCATTGACCGTTTACGTATTGTTAGTTTTAAACTTCTAGAGCCTAAAACATTTCATTAATTGTTATAAAAATTAAATGCGTAATTAAGGAGATATCAATAGATAAGAATCTAAATCGTTACCTATAAATTGACCGTATGCTGCAAACGCTCTAAACAGATGAGGGTTGCTTGGAAGATGACCAAATTTCTGCAGAATACGTATCACTTTGAGACAAGCTACACTGACGGTATATTTGTAGCAAGGTAACAATTTTTCTAAATTTAGATTTCTAGTAACTTCTTCCAGAATGGCCTTTGTGTCGATTGACAGAGAATCTGCTGTAATGGCAGTTCTATAATTAAAAAAATGCAAGTTAAGAAAACATCTGTATACTTTTATAATTACTTTGTTATCTGAAATTCACGACTTGAAATTCAAGCAACATACCCTTGTTGCAAGCTGACAACCGGCGTGACAGTTGCACCTAAAGCTTCTATTAGCGCAGCTCTGTAATAATTGTCCGAATATCTGTTCTTGCTGTTATCATTGTATTTAAAAAGATCCATCAAAAAAGCCAGGACTTCCGGTGGACAGATACCATGAGCATTACGTAATCCAGCCATTGCAACTGGTATGGTCTGTATACAAGTTTAAAAATTTAGAAAAAAAGATGTCAGTAAACAAATTTTATTGTTTTTTAAGATAAAGAGAAAACTTAAGTTTACTTTTTTATTTCATTTTTGTTTTTTTTATAAAAATAAAGAGGAAACTTGTGCATTTACCTTTTGCAGAAAATAATGTTGAAAATTCGAAAAGTTGTTTTGCTTAATAATCCGTCGACAGGACGCCGATCCGAATAATTTACGAAATATGGCTAACATTGCCGGTGGACCAGCCCATGTTGCCACCATTGCATTAGCCACCTGTACAAGAGAGTATATAAATTATATATAGTTATCTAGAAACATATTTGTATCGTCATCCTAATTTTGTAAATCTCGGACATAATTGTTTTAGCGATTCTTGAAAATAAGAAAATCTTATTAACTATTTAGTAGAAAAACTTCTAAAAAATAAAAATTATATCAAAATTATTATTGTTTCTTTAATATAGAATGTTGATTAAAGCCTCATGAATTTTTACAGAGTTTCTGCGACGTTTCAACCAATAAAAAAATCGCATCTGACATAAATGTCTGATCCAGGGTTTACAGAATACGTACATCAAAAAACGTTTACAGGATTAGAATTAAATATTGTTAAATGAAAACTAACCTTTGTCAAACAATGAGCGGCACGAAGTCTAACTTTATAATAGCAATGTTCGTTTTCGATTGTATCCGTTAGTGCCAATCGTGTTGCAGGTGTCGGATGATGATGCAGAGCCTCGATCGCTTCTAATTGCGCTGTGACGTCTCTCTCGTGTCTCAATTGATACTGCCACTGATAATCGGGCTGTTCAATTTGTACAGAGCGCATAATTGTCATTTCAGGGTCAAGTCTAATCCACAATACTGGAGAATCACTGTAAATAATATGTATATATATATAATATATATATATACACACACACATATATATGTACATACACACATACACATACATATATATACATAAAGATTTTAAGAATATCTGATAATAATGTAACTGCCACTGATTACATATATCGTATATAAATTTATAATCAATTCACATCTTACTCCATAGCTGACAGATCCATGTCAACTTCTTCGCCAGTGCAGAGTGGAATTTTCTTCTTTTTATTTCTCCGGCTTTTACTGTGACAAGTAATGTCCGCTCTTGCCATTGTACCTTCAATTTGCAATGTGTGCTTAAAGGTACCATCCAATTCTTGAATACTGACTAAGAGTGGACCTACATATTTTCTAATTCCTCTTATGTGTGTGGTATCTTGCCTTATTTCTAATTCCACTGTGTTTCTATAATGTATATTTTAAGTTTCATAAACAGTATATGATATAACAATCAACTCCTTCGTTATCACTATATCTTCCTCTAAACATCTTTCTAAGACCCAGCATCTTTTGCAGTTCAAAAAATTGTTATATATATATATATATATATATTAATAAAATTGTTTTTTAGTGGTTTTAAGTAATAGCAAGAGAGACATCTTAATTAGTCCCAGAAACTTTGTTTAAAAGGAAAGCGCGTGACGAAAGAGTTAAGAACTAAAACATCTCAAAATGATCAGAAGGTTACCTTTTTCTATTAAATACAAAACTTAAGCTAAATTTTGCGTGTCCTCCTGTTCTCACCCACTGATCTATAAATACTGACATGTCTTTTCCTGTTACTGTAAAAATAGCCTTAGCAAAAACATTCGTGCTAATTAACATGTGTGACCACAAGCCAGAATCGATCTTTTGTTGAGCAGCATTAGCTGCTAGAGACAACTGTTTATTAAATACCTACAAAAAGAATATAGAATTAACAAGTGTTCAACATATTACTGCATGTAGAAAATGAGGCAAGACATATTTACTTGAAGTAACAATTCTTGGCCAATTCTATGTTCCAACATCCTCATAATTAGATGTGCTTTTTTACGGAGTACTTCAATATACTTCGGTGACATTGTATGTAAATTTCTAATAGGAAAATAAAATCCAGGATCAGGAACTCGAGGAGGAGGTGCTGGTGTATTAGCTGCGATAGGCAATGGAGCTGGCGCTTGTGAAGGATCCAATATTATGCCACCAAATTGTTCCTCGTATTTTACGACTTCTTGTAACTCCTACACAAATATTGTTTTAATTAAAACACGTAATTAATCCAAAAATATATAAACTTTTCAACATATAAATATATTTACTGATTGAATCCATTCTCTATATTCGTTATTGCCAAAACATTTTTTAGCGTATAATCCTGTGAGATACGTAGAAATACCCTTGGGCAACCATGTGTCCGACCAATTTTGCATAGATATAAAACAACCAAAAAATTGTTCCGCGACCGCTTGTGCCATTGCTTTTTTAGTAATATACACTTGATCAATAATTGCGGTAGAATGTAGTAAATTTGTACTGTAAATAAACAAATCTTTATAAACAAGTACAAAAGAAACTTTGATTGCAAAATGTGTGCAAAGAAATTATCCTTACTTCAAAATACTCATTGTGGCATAAGCATTGACGTCTTCATCTATTTCGTCAACGAAAACCTGTTTGTAGCACGAATATGGATATCGATTTGACAAAGTTTCTTCGTAAAATTCGAATGCTTCATGCATATATTTTGCGGATACTTTCAACGATGGTAAAAGCTGAGGCAGGCAAAAATGAGTCACTTCGTGCATGTAAGGATCCACAAAAATTTCGAACGGTCTATAAAAAGCAACTTTCATGTTATATCATAAAATAGATAAAATAATTTATAATATATATAATGTATATTTATAATATACATTAAAAAATAGATTTTATATATATATATATTTATTTATTTATATATGTATATATAATCTATTATATGTATATGTTATAAAATACATTTTTGTTAATCATTCTATTTTAGTTTATTCTATTTAATATAAATTTTACCCGACTGCAAGTGCAATATTTGGAGCGCAAGCAGGAGTATTGAGCACATAGTGAAAAGTTTTTCTGCGCATGTCAGGTGTATATACTACTTCAATCAAGTCTCCACATGAGACCGCAGTCATTGAATCATCAACTGTAAATTCCAATTTCCAAGTACATGGTTCAGCAAAGCTATCGATACATGGAAACCATAATCTAGATGAATTTTCATAACTGTATGTATACATATGTGCTCCTTTCTATAAACAAATAAATAAATTGTTTACACTAATCAGGAAACATATTTTCAACAAACTTTGATTGATGCTATAAGCTTACCTCGACTAAACTTCCTTCAGAAGGAACAACAAAGTGTACACCTCCCTGTGGCTGTTCTAAAGAAAACTCAATGCTAATACGCAGCGCACGGCCTTCTGCAACTAGATGCGCTGCATCCGGTGGAATTTGTACTACTAATTCTCCAGCATTATTGTCAGGATCAACTTTTTGTGCAGCTGCTAGATGCATGTTTGAAAAAAATTCCAAAGAACGTCTAGATAAAAAAATTTAGGAAATGTTATAAATTCTATTTTTGAATGTTTCTAATATAAAATAATGTTTTATTAAATATTGTTAAATATTGTTTACTTACTGCTTGCTATCTCCCTGACAGATGTCAAGAAAAGGATCAAAATATTGAAAAGGAGCTTCATAAGTATCATTTAAGCATACTCTGTATATTCTGCATTGTTTTGCATTAACTTTTATTGATCTGAGAGTGTCTCTAAGAGGAATAATAGTCAATTCCACAAAACCAATAATACTTTTTCGTTGAAAGCTTATTCCTGTTAAGCTTAATATTTGGTGAGCTGTAAAATATCAAACTATTTATTATACATAAAACTAATTTATAAGGCAAGTTAAAAAAAAAAAAAAATAAGCACAAATAAAAAAGTTGAAAAATGAAAGAGCGATTTCTTTAAACATAAAAGATACTTAAATTAACTTAAAAATCTAAATAATTTTTATTTTATTCAATAAATTTTATTATTGTTCACTGGAATCACAAAATATCGAACAACAAAAGTCATTCAGCAGAGAAAATAATAACAGGCCAATCTCTTGAACAAAATTTAAGGCAGTTTAGCTACTGTATATATTTTGTGTCAGTTCAAACAATACATGTTATTTGAATAAAAAAATGTAAATATTACAAATATAAATATTTGAATAGTAATACTCAATTGGTGTTTGATAAATTGACACAAGATTAGTTTTATATAAATTATATGAACAATATAAGACTAATCAGACCAATCAGGAAAAATTAGCTAACCAATTACCTAAGTTTTTCTAACTCTAATTACACAATTAGAAACTGCAACAAATAACAATTTCTAAGCATTAAAATATATTGGGTGCAGCTACATACACAAATGACACTGTGTAATACAATATACATTGTACAATCTAGTGCTTTCCAACTACAAATCAAATTAACATAATTGTACGCAACTAAAATGCTGTGTTCAACTGTGTCATTGTTTTGTGTCACTCCATGAATATCAACATTGTTACATTTCTTTATTTTAACATTATTAAATCATTTATTTATTTATTTAATTGATTAATAAAGCTTATTAATTTTGTCAATAATATAAAATTGTAATATATTTGATTCACATTTTCAAAAAACAAATATATATTAAAAAATATATTAATTTTGTTATTTTTATTAATTTCACAAAAACAATTTATTAATTTTAACAATTTACTTTACTATATATAAATTATATACCATAATTTGATCAGTATTTTATAAATCTTTTTTATATAACTGAAACAAACTAAGTCATAAGAAAACCTTTGATTAAAAAATACTACCTTTTACAAAAAAAGTATTTTTTGGTAATTTATTATTATTATAAATCGTTGACATACTTATTCATCCCATGCATGGAAAACCTAATGATAAGTTTTATAAAGTGATTTTCTTACGCTCTGACAATGAAAAAAAATCTATATAAATACTAAAAAAAGTTAAATGCTAAACATTTAAATACTGTTCCAGCTACAAGTTGACACTGTGTAATACTTGTCACAAACTATATGACTGTTACGTTGCTGAAAAGCACTCAGTATATGTCAACAATTTATAATAACAATCTCAAAGCACCAGAAAATATTTTTGATGTAAAAGTTAGTATTTCTTACCAAATGTTTCTTTTATGATTTATTAACTTATTTCAGATATATAAGACTGATAAAAATCAAAGTATGTAAAGTTGTTAAAATTAATAAGTTGTTAAAAAATTAAATATATCTCCTATAATACACTATTTTGTTTAGAATGAACTAAGTACTGTATGTTTACAATTTTATATTAAACTTTATTAATCAATTAAATAAGCAAATGATATAATTAAATAACTAGTGATACAATAATTAAATTAATATAAAAAAATATTGGTATCCATAGAGATTACAAAATGGTGATACAGTCAAACACATTTTAGCTGTGTACGATTGTGTTGACTTGTGTTGTAAGTAGGAAAGCATTGAGTTGTACATTGTACATTGTGTTAAAGTAAAAATATGTAATAAAAAAGTTCTTGTTAAATACACAACTTGAAATACTGTGCCAAAAAACTCAAAGAATAGAAAAGTAGAAACACATTTAACATACTATAAAACCTTTTAAATACACAAAGCAGTTATTTCTTTTCTTTTTGTACTTTGCACCAGTTTTTAATTTAAAAATATACTATAAAAATACTTATAATTTATAAGGGCGGCTGTTATCTCCCGTTTTTTCTTTCTTCATTTTTCCTGTTTCTTTTATATACTCAGGACTTTTTACACATCAGGTAAATAATTACACATCAGCATACACTAAAACCAGAGTAAAAATGGCGAATCATATCAACACAAAGCACGATACAACGCAACTACCATACCAACGATTACATAACTACTACACAGTCACAGCAGAGAGAAACCTGAGAGCGGCCATCCTATTGTAATTTTTTACGACGGTTTCAGCCGCTGGTTTTAGCCGTATTTCCACAAAAGTGGAACTCAAAGGCCGTTCTACATTAAACGCAAGT